CCCCTCCGCTGTGGTGATGACTCCTCAGTGAGAGAACCCAACCACATGACGCACACATGCACAGGCAAACTCCTCAGCACTGAATGCCAAATCAAACAGGTTGAGTCATTTTAAACACGACTCACAAACTATAAAAAACAGAATTACCCCTCATACATTCACCTGCTCTGATGAAAACCAGACCATCTGAGAGAGATGTTGATGATGATGATGATGATGATGATGATGATGATGAACTATTTCTTTCTGTTGAGTCAGCAACAAGTCAAAAGCCAATCATTACAGTACAATCCTCCCCATTTTCTCTCTGAGTGTATTTTTTCTATTTCACAGAATTTCTGCAGGATTCTCATCTCAGTATTGGCTGTTACAACACATGCTCTAATATAGTGGCTCCCCACTGGGGGGCGCCAGAGATCTCAGGGGGTGCACACAACTTTGTCTGCTGAGGTTGTGAGGTTACCAAAATTATTATTTACAAAAATTTAATTTATAAAATACCAATTACACACCCAATTGGATAATCAAAGTATAATCCAAATTGAAACATATTTTTGGTCCACATTTGAATTCATTAAGCTATTTATTACCTATTTAGTGTGTGTATGCAGTTAGGGGTTGGGGTTGGGGGGCCTGACTTGTCTTGGACACAGGGGGGGCTTCAAGGAAAAAAGGTTGGGAACCACTGCTCTAATATGTAGAGCAATACGGTACAACAAGATGGATGATCCACACGGAGAAACATTTATATTTGTGCTGTACGGTACAAATAATTAGTATAAATAAATAATATTAAACATATTCAAGTTCACATGTTTGATTGCGTTAAAACACTGATTCATTTGACACTGATCAATCCTTTTATGTCAAAGTGAGAACAGATATCTACACATAAGTGTGCACAAGTCAGGGTATGATACAAGAACATTTTCGATCACTGAACATCACTATAGCAGTGCTGGAAGGTTGTGTATAAATCAGGCTGTTACACTGGTTTATACATATTCATCACTATATGATTGCATGCTCCTTCTACTGTACTGCTTCGATTTAGCACTGAAAGAAAATATCATAGTCAAACTTAGTCGACTCCTCCATAAACATCACTTTTCAGTTAAAATTGTTCGCCCAACGTGGGGCTCGAACCCACGACCCTGAGATTAAGAGTCTCATGCTCTACCGACTGAGCTAGCCGGGCTGCTTCACATCCAGTCATATCTACCTTCAACTCTAGGGGCGCCCGCACTACATTGATCGCTACATAGGATGTAGGCTGACAGACAGGGTCACTTATGATTTTCATTATGGTTCTTATATTTTCTATATCTTTAGAATATTTTTATTGTATTTTTCTTTATTGCATTTTTAACAGTTCTGTACTTTTTGCTCTTAATTCCACTATGCTGCTGCGTCAAACGTGAATTGCCCACAGGGATCAATAAAGGAACATCTTATCTTGTTTTGAAAGCAGGTCACATCCTTAGGTGATTCTGAGTTTTCTAGATGAAACTTACAAATGTTTAGCTTATAGCCTCCATGTATGAACTAAACATAAAATAAAATGCTTATAGGCCTACTGCCTGAAAAAAGAACCACACTGACAGGAAAAGTGTAAGTACAAGTTACTCATTTCGGTTCACACTATCATAGGCATCATGTATGAACACACAGTAAAGCATTTTGTACCACATACCGCTGCATTCCATCAGGTTCCAGACACTTCCACACCAGAAAACATTATCACATTATCAAATTGAATTGTTTTACACTTATTAGGAATAAGTCATTATTTCTAGTCGCTAATAATAATAATAATAATAATAATAATAATAACACAACAACAACAACAACAACAATAGTAATAATAATAATAATAATAATAATAAATGGATTTATCCAACCTTCCATTCTCTGCTCTCATGCAGCACAGTTGCACTTTTTACTCAACTTTTTACATAATCTTAATTATTAAACTGATTGATATATTGATATATATCTGATTTCATGTGTTCTGGGCCCTTCAGGGATCAGCTGTAGCAGGAGCAGGCAGCCAACCAATCACATTACTCGGGAATAAAACCAGAACGAACCATTGGCTGGGGGAGTACAGGCACGTGTCTACTGACGTCGCTTGGTTTCTACCAATAACATCCCTAACCACGCCCACGGCTCAGGGTTTCTTTATGGAGCTCATTAATATTCATGAGGGTCGTAGATCTGAATCGTGATTGGATGATAGACTCACGGAGGGCTGATGAGTTACACTTTTGTCATTATTTATGTTTTTTCACCTTTTATTAGAAAATTCAACTTGCTTTTGTTTATTTAAAAATAAAATAAAATAAACAACAAGAACAATAAATAAATAAATGATGAAGAATAAATTATTTTATAAAACCTTTTTCATGTTAGGTGATATTCAGCTTTTTAGCTTGAATCTGCATATTTACTGCAGTAGTGTTTGTGTCTGTGCCTATTTTCCAGGTGATCCTTACATTGATGTGAATGTTTGGGTTCAGTATACTCGCTGATAGTAAGAGTTAACAGGACCCACCCTGGAAAAACAAGAGTTTTCCAAAATGATTAGCATATGTAACATCACACAAAAAATATATGTAAAATAATAATAATTTATAATAATAAATATGTATAAAACAGTGTCATTTTAAAAAAGTTCATATCAATAAAATGCAAAACAGCAAAACCAATAAAATCCTACAGTCGTATTCTTGTTTGAGAGAATGAGAGTGGAAAATAAAAGTAACAGATCATTGATTGCTAATCACTTCCAGTATTTTCCTCTGGTAACCGATAACTGCCCAGTCTTTTACAGAAGCTCTGCTCTACCATTTAGCAGTCATTTTCTGGTGTCATGTGGTCTGTTAGATAATTTCTCTGCATGAGTGCCGACTGACTTCACTCTCAAACCAAATAAATTAATTACACACACAATGTAACAAAATGCCATCACACATAGAAACTAGATCCTATTACTGGCTGGTTATTTGCTATATAAAGCAGCCAACAGACTCGCAGTGACCTTCCCTTTTAGTCTGTTACTATAAAAAATAGCTTTGGGCCTAGAAACGACTCTCTCTTGAGTCCTATCCTAGTCATTTCAGTATGGACCATTTGATCTGCTCCTGGGCCGGCTGTAGAAGAACACATATATATATGTAGTTTATTGTAGAGTGATGTAATGAAGAAAACCCCATGATGATATTGTTTCCTCTTTTTTTATCATTCAACATAATCAGCATAGTTTAACTGACTAACTGGTCTGCCATTAAAGTGTTGCCAGCTGCACTTATATTCTATTCTTATATAATGTATATGTAGCCTGTGTTCCCCACAGGGTTATACGAAGTCCTTCTCAAAGTGGGCTCCAGGTGGGACAAATATCAGGCATGTGTGTTCTGATGAGAGCAAGAACATCAAGATTCAGTAAAATACAAGATGGATAGACTTTTAGAAGGGAAAGAAAATCAGCCAGTGGTCAGTGAGGAGAAACTGTCCCTCAAATCAAACATGTGAAGAAGACTCTCGAGTTCCCTTTCACTCTTCGTCTTTTGGTGAACAAGCTTCCACTGTTTGTGTCCTCCTCATCTTAGACTTGTTGTTCCTCATATTGACAGCAGGGAGCACATGGCACTAAGGTAACATTCACTGCAGTGTGGGATCCTGGGAAATGCAGTCACATCCGGCCCTTACAGTGTTCTTCTGCAGCTTTCATCTATATAACAGGTAACTCGACATATGGAGGCATTTGTTACAACTTTATATGTTAAAGTGTTAGGCAGTAGTTCAGCTGATTTCAGCACAGTGTTTGGTTTGTCCCTTCTTTGCTACAGTGGAAACATGGCGGTTCAACATGGTGGACCCTGCGGCACTAGGAGATAAAAACATCTCATTCAAACTCATCCATTCTTCTTTTCAGCATCATTTATTTCACATTTATTTATAGAAAATGTACTAAATCTGTCAGTTGTTTTAAACATGAATACTGTACACATGCAGGGTAGAATTAATGAACTGCATTTACTCTCCTCACAATAACAATGTTGTGTTTTGTGTTCTTGTCTCAAATCATCTTCCTTTACTTGCTGAGCAAAGTATTTGATCATAAGATCTTTTTTATCTATATGGATAAATATAATATAATATAATATAACACATAGACTACTGTTGTGTATTTTCAACCAGGTCTCACTGTAAACACACAGCAGTCAAACACTGCAGTGTGTGAAGTCTGTAGCTTTGTAGCATTGTGTCAGACGTACTGTATATCTCACCACTGGTTTCCATGCTGCCCAGCAAAGTTATGTTTAAAAACTATTTTTATAAATGACAAGATGGAGGAGGGAAATGGATGGAGTTTTATCAACAAATAATATCTTTTGGACTCTATTGGCTGAATACCTTCATGCAGTGAGGAAAGAGTGCAGCCAGTGAACCATTGTGTCACGCATACAAACAGGTCTGTCAACCTTAAACAGTCAGATGCCTTTATGGTGTCCAAAAATGTTGTTCAGCCAGTTTGAATATGAAAGTAGATTATATAATGATACACTTTGTTCAGACAATAAATGAGACATAGTCACAGTCTGTTCTTTGTATGAACTCATATTTGCCTTGTGTTTCCTGAGTTCTGCTGTGATCAATCTCCCCAGTCACTGTCCTACTTGTAGACATCAGAGGATTATAACATTTCTGTTTTCCTCTTATACTCTATATGCACTTTATTTCAATTCAGACTCAGATCTTTTATTATAGTCAGTTTGTTTAGGGTTTAACTCAGGTTTAGGCTGAATGTCAAAAATGTTAATTATGCAACTCTGACCCACAAACACATGAACACACATAGGTAAGTCTGATATTCTGTGTACACATATGCACAGCACAGGAAAGGGCAAAATACAATCAGTCCATGTCTGAAATTGTGTCAGGAATGTGTAGGGAGGCTGCAGGAGAGGAGGGGGCAGAGCAGCACTCTGACATGGAGTGTGCATTTTCTTTTATTACAGTTTATAATTGATGTACACATATAGCTATTTTATCTACTCAAACAGTCCAAAGCATCGTGTCTTGTCCAGTTTCCCTGTATGAACATCCACAGCTGTTAACACACAATATTCCTTCATTCATCCTTGCGAGTCCTACAACACAGTGTGAACTGGCCTCCTCCATCCTGGGATGGGGGTTATCACTAGTTAAATTAAACTTGAATGACTTGAAATTGTCATTCAAGTTAAAAATGATTTAAAAAAATGGATTCCATTAATTTTTTTACGACTTCATTCTTAATTTTTTAACTCTTTATTATTTTGTGGAACTCTCGGAACACCAACCTTATGACTCATCATATCTATGAGTTATGTTACATACATTCCTTCAAATCCCCTCAAAACAGTTAAAACGTAGTTACACAGATAATATACAACTTTTATCAAAACTACAACAGTTGTGTTGACTGATACCTTTCAATGAAATTTGTGTTATAGAAAACAAATAATCATTAGGCCTACAAACAATTATGGCTGCAATTTCTTATTTCAAATAAATCCAATTATATACATATCATTTATCTAACAACTCTAAGCTCAACCTCCCACATCTTTCTTTGCTCCTCAAACTTTTAAAAAAGACAAAAAATAATGCAAATATGACATTTTTAAGATGATGCATCTTTGAATGAACAAAATATAATTTCACACCCTGATATTTTTTAAGAAAGGCGTCAGACTTTGAACAGTTTAATGTCTATTTAATGAGATTTTCATATCAACGTAAAAAAAAAAAAAAGAGATAAAAACAGATGTCAAATCATAGCTTACATTCTTGGTGCAATGAAAATATTTCCATAATATCTGACAACTCCTTCTTCATTCTTTCTTTGAAGAATCTTTCTTTACATATTTAAATAGAAACTTTATTCTCATGATCTTGTAAAATAAATTTAATTAACATATAGGATATATATATATATACACATTTAATTAAAGAAAGATTTAAAACATGAATGGCCCTATTTAGTGCAAGCATTTGCTTTCAGGTGATTATATACAAATGAAAACATGTTATATTCCATTTATCTTTTTAAACTACTTTTTGGGGCTTTTATTGCCTTTATGATTGTGACAGCTGAAGACAGAAAGGAAAGAGTGGCAAAGAGAGGGGATGACATGCAGCAAAGGGCTGCAGGTCAGATTTGAACCCTAGGCCACTGCAGCAAGGACTCAGCCTCGGTACATGGGTTGCCAGCTCTACCCACTGAGCTAACCGGGCGCCTATATTCCATTTCTTTTAACAGATCCTTCTAAATGTTACACACTGGAGCTTTAACCCTCAATATTACTCCTTCAATTAAATCAAAAACTCTTATTTCTTTAGAACAGTTAAAATCTCTGGTCTTCTGATACTTTGAGTAGAGTTTTAGTCGTTTCTGGGATTTTACATTTCATCCAGACTTTCAATAGCTTCTTGTTTACTGTACTCTCTCCATTCATTGGGAATTTCTCCTCTGTCATGGAATCTTAATTTATAGTGGTCTTCAAGCTGCTTTTGAAATCGACACACAAACCATTTCCAGTATGACAGTTTACACTCATCAGGAGTAATCTGCCATGTAGCAAACCTCTCTCCAGCCTTTTGATACTGTTTATATGGAACAGTCTCATCTGAATCATGATGGGGATGGAAAGATCCATCACTTGCAACTGATGTTGTGCAGAAATTAATGTCCAGTTCATCTGTGTCTCTAGTATGCCAATCTTTAAACACAGAGGGGCGATGGAAAGGGACACTGTGTTTGTCAGGACTGTGATCTTCCAGGGTGTTGGTACAAACAGCTGCACAGAATGGACACTTTACCCAGCAGCACTTGCACAGCTGATCAATGAGGATTTGATCAGGCTTCAGCCTGAATTCCTCCATCTTATCCAGTGAGAGGTTGCTCATCTCTTTCATGATGGATTCAAGGCCTCTCTCAGTCTCTTCTTTCAGAAAGTTAAAATTGTTTACATCACTGAAGTTTTGACAACAAATAGTGTCAAATGTTAGCTTAGCTTTTAGCACACTGGAAAATTCCTCCACCCACATGTCTATGTCTCCTCTCTGGGTTTTGACTTTATTTGTTGCAGTAAACAAAGCCAGACTCACCAGCTTTTTTATGTCTTCAACATTTTTCTTGAGTATTTGATGTGCCTTATGTTTGTTCTCTATGAAGATGTATTTCTTTACTTCCTCTTTTATAAAAGTCTCTACTTGCTTCCTTGGGTGTTTGATGTAGTTGATAAAACCATTAAAGTCCTCTTTCTCTGCCAGTGACCTCAACAGGTGTTTCTCCAAGTTCAACCTGTTCCCACTGAATGCTGGGAATTTGCACCTCATCTCTCCAGCGAGATCAATGGCAGTCTGGTTACAAACAGCCTCAACAGTGGAGCTCTTCACTTTTTCACAGATCAGTTCTCTAAGAACGACAGCAGATGAGTTTCCTTTGCAGAAGCTTCGGAAAATGTTGTAATATTGTGATTTCTTGCTTTCTAGATAAGTGAGTGCATCGTTGTTCATTTTGAATTTCCTGTGGGACTCTGAGAGCCAACTCCATGCTCTGTCAAATACATACAGTATGAGATCAACTGTAAAGTCCTTCTTCAGAGCATATTTCCTCTTTGATTCAAATTCTGTCACTTTTGCTTTGACATTTTTGGCCACTTCTTGCAAGTAAGTTGGACTGTAGCCTCTTGTAGCTACAGGTTTGCTCTTGAGTGCATCAAGGGACTGTTTTTCAGCATCGTCAATGAGCGATCTGATCAGTTTCTGGTCTTCATACTGAAAAAACTCCTTAATGTAACGTCCTATTTTTCCCGGTAAGTATTCAGTGACTTTGTTTGCAGTAACTTGGTACTTGTTGAAAGATACAAAATGACTGTAATCTCCAAACTCTGATATTTTTTTGTATCTGCCACTGTGTTTGGATTCAGCTATCAGAGCCCATTCAAAACCAAGTTCCAAGAGGATCTCTGACTGATCTTCTTCATAGCTGATGTCCTTAATAGGTTTTGTGTCAGCTGTTAGTTCACTAACCCATCCTCTCCAAACAGAGTCAAACTGCTTTTTAAGTTCCTCTTCATCTTTTGCCTTGTCTTTTAACTGATGAGCGAGCTCTTTACTCTTTTGTAGCAGCTTGGTCTCAAACTCTGTCTTCCTGTCATTAAGCTTTTTACAAGCATTCTTCTGCTGGATAACTTCATCCAGTTTTCTTTTAACTCCTCTCACTTGTTCATCATGAAACTCCTTGATTTTAGTTTCAAATCGGCCTCGCCACTGAACCAGCATGTCTTTTTCTTTGTTGTCTTCAAAGTAAATTGTCATATCTTTTTTGATCTGTTCATATGTTTTTTTCATTTCTTCATGAAGAAAGCTGACCTCAACTTTGTCAAGTGTTCCGTTTTCTATTCTGGTATAAAGCTCGTTCTCAGTGGTCAACATGTTGCTCCTCAGGGCCCCGGTCCAGTTTCCATACTGGGCCACAAGTTCTCTGTACACTGCAATTTCAAGTGTGTTTTTGAAACTGAAAACAAAGTTTTCATTCAACAGGGCCTTCCACAGGTCCTGAATTTTACTTTTGAACTCTGAGAGAGTCATCCCAGTAGACTGTGAAGCTTTAGAGAGGATAAAGTTCTTCAGCTCTTGGACACTCTCCCTATAACCTGGATTTGGAGGAGCCATAGGTGGACTTCCCTCCCATAGTTGGGCAAAGTATTTCACATCTTTTTGTACATCAAATGCAATGACATCACTGAAGCACTCAGCTTCACAAACCTCCTCTTTGGCTGCTAGTTGGGCCATCCTGTCCAGTTTTTCTTGCAGGCGTCTCTTTCTTTTCATGTTTTTTCCCCCGGCCCCAAAATTTAAAAAATTTTGGGGAAAAAAAAAAAAAATTGAAAAAAAAAAAAATTTTTTTTATTAAAAAAAAACCCAAAAAAAAAATGAACATCTTGCATCTCAGCTGGATTCTCCAAGATGTTGATAATGTTTTCCTATTCATGTTCTTTTTCTTAACTAAGGCAGTCCTGCAATATCTGTAATAATCATCTCTGAATTGTGTGAAGGACTCACCGACCAACACACAAACTTGAAAAAGAGAATTGTTGAGTTTCAACTGTTTTGTTCATCCAAAACTGACAAAAAAAAAACCCTCTTTTTCCCAATTTTTTTTAAAATTTTTTTAAAAAAAAGAAAAAAAAAAACTCATGACCTGCATCACCATCCATCAGAACAACAATCTGCAGAACATCTTGCATCTCAGCTTTGGATTCTCTCCTAAAGATGTGCTCCAAGCCAAATTTTGCTATTTTATTTTGGTTTATTTTTTTTGATCAATGTGCATGTTTTTTAGCTGATCAGATTTGTCATGCTTGTTCTTCAAAGTCACAACCTCAGACCACTTTTCATCATAGCTTTGGAGAATTAAAGAGAGATCGTCTGTGGAGAGGGCATCTATTAAGATCTGAGTCCATTTCAGGAAATACTCTTTTTCTGTTGATGTCAAAGATGAGAGGCTTTCAATGAACAACTTCATCAGCTCACTACAGGAAGCCTTGCATTGTTTCTGTCTTATTGTCTTCAGTTCCTGTTCCTTTTTACATTCCTCTTTCTCAATGTCTCCTTTGAGGTGATAAAGTTCTTTGTTTGTTCTGCACCACTTGTGCCACAGTTGGCCTTGACGTGGGAAAAATGTATCTTTGATCTTTGAAACATCCATCCCCTGAAGCAGGTTTACTATTTTCATGGCTGCAGATTTCCCTTTTTGGCAGGCTGTGTCATCTTCATCCACTCTGATTCCAGAGACCCCAGCCATGGTTTCAAGCTGGAAGGATTCATGTGGTCCAGACAAAATGTTTCCAATGATTCCTTTCAGTTCTTCAGAAACTTCTGACTGGCTTCTCTCCTTTAGACCCATTTTGTATTTTCCCCTTTTTATCTCAACGGTATCAGAATCATTATCAGTAATGATAATGATGAGGGGCTTTGGAGCCTGAAAAAGGGCTGAGATAACTGTTGTATATTTGTCACCTTTTTCCAGAGTTGGTACCAGAACAACATTGACTGAAGATTTTTCAGTCAGTATGTCACGCTGCTTTTTCCTCAACAGAGCATCACCATGAAGGTTACAGAAGGCAATGCAGTCAGTGAAGGCATCATTGGGTCTTCCAGCAGGGCAGTACCAAGCAATCTCTGCCACTCCTTCCATCAAATGGCGAGACTTGGTGCTGCCTGGGCAGTTTCTGTGAAAGAAGGTGCTGTGACGCTCGTTGATCAAAGTGTTCATCAGCTGAGATTTAGACAGAGACAGTGAGCCAAGACGGAAAAATGACACCATGGGTGTCTGAGCTTTGCAGATGGGCATACTCTTCATGGTGACAGTGTTATCTCTGATTATCTTCCATGTTTTTCTTATTTGTCTGAATGTCCACAGAGGACAGACAATATCCATGGTGACTGGGTCAGGAACAAGTAAAGGTAAGGCGTACTGACATTGTGATAACTTAGTAATCATGTTCTGCTTTAAAAAGCTGTCTGAGCAGTGAAATACTGCCATTTGAATGTCCATTGGATGCACACGAGTCTGTTTTGTCTGATCAGAGTTTATAATGGTGGTAAAAAGAGCATCAAAGCCAACAGTGTCAGACTCTGGAACCGGCTTTGACTGGCTCACCCCAGGACCGTCTTGTCTGACAGGAATATATCTGGCTCTGTAGTCTAACATCATCAACCTCTGAAGAAAAGTATGAGCTAGATCTTTCTCACATGTGTCGTTGTCCTGTTTCACAGGTGGACCTATTTTAAGGAAATCTGCTGGTGTCAGCTTCTGTTGATGTTTGTCTTGAAGGTGAAGTCTGCTAAGCAATGTTTTACTTTCTCTTTGATATTGTTTCTTCCTGTTGGTCTCTTCAAAAATCTTCACTGACTGCTGTAAGTAAACATGTATTATATGTAAAATATGACAACAACATACAATGGGATATAAAGTAAATGGTCCTAAAGATCTTGTGAAGTTTGGAGTGTCTTACCTTATCCTCTTTTCCACTCATATCCATTTCTAAGGGATCTGCAGTAAAATAATGAACTTCATTATAAGAAGGTAAAGGGAATGTGCTACTGAACCAGTATAGTTTTTATTTATTCTCATAACATTTTTAACTTAAATAGTAACTCTGACTATTTCATGTTTTTGTTATAAATAATTAATTAAAATGTTACCCTTTTCCTTCTTGGTAGATGGTACGAACTTGATACTTGGTACTTCAGATTCTCCTCCTGCAGTTGGGTTGTGGTCATTCTTCTCTGAGTGTTGATCACCAGGTTCATTCACTGAATCACACTAAGAAAAAAATTTAGTTTACTAGGTTATAACCATTGACATTGAGAACATGAAGACAAGCAACACACAACCACACAAAAATACAAGCAAGGAAAAACAATAAGCCCAAACTGAAAGGAAGCAGGTTTGTATTTTATTTTAGAGAAGAGCTGCTGTATGACAAATGAGGATGAAAAGATGTCACCGTTACTTCTGTTTTAGTTGCACTCTCCTCCAGCTCTTCTACTGCAGGGTAATCTACCAAGAAGCGGACTGCAGGATCAAAGATAAAATATGTTGTTTTTGGTCAGTTAGCGAACAAAGTTAATTGTTCCATGAGGTATGTACTTATCTGCAATCCAAAGATTAAAACCACTATATATGATGTCTGTTTGTTTTTTTGTCAGTGTTTGTTTCCTACAAGCCTGAGAGAGATTATTTATTTAAAGTTATTGATGGCTAAACGGAAAAATCGTCCATCCTCATGTCAATCTCACATGCATAACAGCATTACAGTATGTCATCAGGATCTGATTGGTTCTTAACTAAAGTCATATAATACCACACTAATAATAATACTATCCATATTACTCACATTAATATCTCCCTGTGTCTCAGATCAAGGAGTGTAAAAAATAAATTAAATCAGGCAGTGCCATTACGCCTCCTACAAGTCTTATGTTGTCAACCCACTCTTTTTATCTGAAGATAAATAAATAAAAGAAAAAGGTGAGACTGACCTTCTGGTCCTGAGCAGGTGTCTGACAGGCTCTGCACCAGATCATTCCTGGGTATCTTCTTTAAAATCTTCATGGTTACCTTCAGAGCTCCATGTGGTGTGTAAGTGTTCACCATCAGATCCACAGTGTCCCTTCTCTCTGCGCCCTCCAGCTTGGATCTTTTGATGGGTTGGTAGCCTTCCAGGATGTCAGGCCGCCGCAGATACCATTTGAAGTCTCTGAATTCATCAGCTGCTAACTCCTCCAAAGTGTTCAGAAGGTCCTCTGATGTCCTTGTGGCTTCCTGCTAATATCAGGCAGTATATTCAACCTCAAGGAAAACTGTAGTTCCAATCTATTTTTTTTATACTACATAAAAGAGCCATAAGAATTGTAAACACACACATTTAGAAGAAATTTAGAGATTTAGAGATTTATGTAAGTATCACTGCACAGTGGAATGGTGCACCACCACCACACCTGAGTCTGATAAATCTTCCTGCAGGGTCACATGGGGGTTCTGATTTGCCTTTCTGACCACCATATGAGCAATTATCTCTGAGAGTTTTCTTGGTCTTCTAGATCTCATCTTGACCTGCACAGTTCCCCTAACCTGCTGTCTCTTAATTACATTTTGCACAGTGAAAACTGCAAGCTGGCAACACTTTACTATGTTCTTGTAGCCTTCTCCTGCATTGTGGGAACCAATAACTTTCATTCTTACACGGCTGCTTAGAGGAACACATTGTTTCTGAGTGTTTGCACAAGGATTAAAGAGTCAGAGTATTTGTAAAGCTTTAAAATTGGTACCAGCTGAGATTTTCCTAGTGAATATTACGGCCTGCTTGGGCCAGAATTAATTATGGCGTGTACGGTCCCTCATAATGGTCTTATGGCCCGGGCTATTGTTTTGTAGGTTTTCAGTCACAAACCTGACATGACCTGACAATAGATGGAAAGTACAGGGATTACAAAAGTGATTACAGCTCATCCAGAGAGAGACATCAATGTCATGGCAATCTATGATGTCTAAATGTTATGGCGTTCCATCAATGATACATTTCACTTAAAACTACAAAAGTTAACCTCATGGTGGGGCTAGAGAAAAAGTCCCCCAAGTTCATTAAGATTCATCCTCTGGGCACCCATGAACTAAATTTCATGACAATCCAAAAATCCTAAAACAAAAACCTGCTGGTGGTGTCTGAGGTGAAGTCAGAGGATTTCATGTTGAGATAATCATTACCTTTGCTCTGGTTTCATCTGGAGTCACCCTCCATTCATCCACTGCAAGGTGAAAAAAAAAGTTACAATGATTTTTTTTTTTTTTTTTTGACGAGAGAGGCCTAGGTTTGTTGCAGCAAAAAGGAGCCAGCAAGTCTATTATAAACTAACTAAAGTCTATTTGGTAGCGAAACACACACTTCCTGCTGAAAAGAAATGACCTGGATAAATACATACTGCACATGCTCTATGGGCCACTGTGGCTAGAGACTTCTGCTGAGTAAGCCAGCTACATTACGGTTTAACCATTTCAATGTGCAAACTATATCATGGCTTTCAGGGGAGCTTACTTTTTCACTGGACGTGGGGGGCACTGGCCGTGTGGGGTACTGGAAGCTGAAAGTTTATTTTATATATATTTTCTGATCTGAAGTTAATGATATTATGCTGCCATGCTTCAATGGTGATTGCAAGAATAGCAGCAATTTTGATGATGAAGATATAGAAAACTACAAATGCTAGGCCAAAATAGCCTATTGTCAATATTTTAGAGCCCCCCCAAAACATATTTTCACAAATCATGTTCTGTAGGGAGCTCATGTCTTATTAAGAGGAGCCAAGCTCCACCTGGCTCCCCCGTAGTTCACACCATGTAACCCTCTGTTAACTTGCATGAGGATATTAGATCACCATGCAAAGATTTAATCATGTAGTTCCTGTAGGCTTTCAAAATGTTATCGAATTTAATGAATCAAATTCTGATAGGGGTTGTTCAATAGCAATTTGTATGATCTGAGTAAAAAATAAAAATGTTTTTGTTCATCATTGCATTTCCCCATGACACATGAACTTATATTGCATCAGTAATTTCAAATGACAGATCCATTATCTAGAACCATACATACATACATGCATCAGTAAATCTAAAATATCTGTTTATTCCTACTCAGTAATAATCCTGATTAAAAAGGAGAGGCAGAAGGACAGGTTGTCCAGGTCACCTTTCTACATACAGCTGATGCAGAGGTAGACATGCTCACATTTTATTTAAATGTTAATTAAACCTTAATTCACCTGATGTGCTTGTGTTTGGACCATGGGTGTAAGTCGGGTCATCTGGACAACAACACCAACAACAATAGCGCAGGCAGGACAAGCAAACTCCACACAGGAAGGAACAGTGCTGCTCTATAAAACACATTGTTGTAATGGTTTGAAAATCTGAATATTAAAAAGTATGCATACACAAAATAGTTACAGTCTAACCACTGCAATAGTGAAGTGTAATGGTTAATATGATTATGACATGATTTATGAAGAGAGAGTGTAAGAGAATGGTCAGTGTGAAATGACACCTGTCTTGTTTTGTTTGCATTTTAAAGACCTGCATGTTTCTTTATGACAACGATGTGTCAACTACATACATCATGCAATGTCAGACACTGAATCACAACATACAGTATGTATATATTATGAAGTATACAAGTATGCATTTAAACTTTAATACATTAAATTACAGTCACAAAATGTTCTCAATAGACACACATTACAGAAATGACAATTTTCAGGCATTGAGAAAACGTATTAAATGTTGTAATTTCAAACTTTGGGAGATGTTGAAATGATATTTCTCAGAGTATAGCCCTCCTTATGGACTGATAATAAGCCTGTTTGAATTTCACTCACCTGTTGATGAGTCTGGTTCTCCTGAAGCCCCCCCAGGGTCGGTTGATCTTTGTGCCATCTCCACCACCTCCTCATCTGCTCTTCATGCTTACAGAAACTGCGAGACAAATACAATAATAGTAAGTTCCACTCTTCCACACAGACTTTAATCATATGAGATTTTGATTGTTATGATGACAAAAGGTTGTTGGATTGTTTCATGATTTTATGGGAATATTATATATTTTGTTTGTACCTATACAATATTACAATTGTATTTCATAATGTATTGTTTATTTAGTTTATTTATTTTGGTTCTCCATAACTCTTTTCCACTTGGGGCTAAATGTCAACAAGTCAAAATATTGTTTGGGATAACTAAGTCACTGCGATATTCACAAAGATTTGTTGCTGTTTTTTTCTACATTACAGAACATCTAATTGCACAATTTTGCAATAATGTCTGCCTCTGTCATTATTCTTCTCTGTTCCTCCCTTCAGTCATTGATCTCTTCCTCCAGTTCAATGCATTTTCTCGACATCATGGCTGTTCCTGTTCCATCAGACAGATGCCTTCAGACTCTTCCACCTTCCTTCATCTACCCTGCAATCCCCTTTTCCTCCAGGCGTTCCCTGTCCACTCACTCACCTGCTTCCCATCAGCCCTGTAGTACATATACCGTTCATTTCTCAATCAAAACTGGCTCCAGCTTGGTAAAAATTTTCTATTCATGCAGTTCCATTTTTGTTGTACTCCTAGGTTACACAATTCAAAGCCGGACCTGTCTCTCTCTACTCTGTCTGTCTTACAAACAGCTGGTCTGTGCAGCTCTTGGTCTGTCTGTGTCTTCCAGCGCTGTTCTGTGACTTTGTTACTGATGAAAGTGAGAGTGTAATCCAACAAAAAAAATATTAACCAGTATTCAGTCAAGCCATAGTATAATGGTATTTTACACTGATCAGCATTAACATTGTGAGCACTGACAGGTGACGTGAATAACACTGATTATCTGGTTATCATGACTCCTGACAGTGGGCGGGATATATCAGGCAGCAAGGTAAAAATGTTGTCCTCAGAGTGATGGGTTTGAGCAACTGTAGGAAACTACTGTTTGGAAATTGTCCATAGAAGCAGAATCTACACACACACACACACACACACACACACACACACACACACACACACACACACAGAAACACGCCCACTGATAATGACTTCTCAAGTTTCCATTAAAGTAATAAACTGGGTTGGTGGAAGGGATTTGTAAGTGCATAGTTCAAATTAATGATTACCCTGAAACAATGTACTATTAATGTATGCATAGTTTAACAACCAAGGGGAATAGTTGTGCAAAGGTGCACAGCAACAGCAGTAGCAACAACTATACTAGTATAAATAACAAAGGATGATGAAGATGATGATGGTGATGATTTAAGTGAATTGTAACATTTCTGTAAACATAACAAAGAAGAGCTCATCCAATTTAAGTGAAAAAAAGAGGGGCACCCGGTTAGCTCAGTGGGTAGAGCTGAAGACCCATGTACTGAGGCTGAGTCCTTGCTGCAGCGGCCCAGGGTTCGAATCAGACCTGCGGCCCTTTGCTGCGTGTCATCCCCTCTCTCTGCCCCCCTTTCCTGTCTATCTTCAGGTGTCACTATCATAAAGGCAATAAAAGCCCAAAAAACTAAAAAAAACTACAAGCAGCCATCAGAGGGGTTCTCAGGCCAATGAATTGTCAGTGAGTATATAAGCTTGTGTAAAATGACATCACCATCACCTGTGGTTGACAATGCTGCTGTAAACACCCACAAATTATACCATTTAACACTGTGTGAATACTGGATTAATGCTGGTTCTGATAGAAAGGGGTCAGAACACACAGTGTATCACAGTTTGTTGGTATGGGGCTGCAGAACATTGTGACCACCAGGGGGTCATAATGTTATGGCTGATTGATGTTGTTGTGTATCTTCCAACACTGATCGTAGTCCTTCAGTGCCTGATCTTCTGAACCCCACAGGATGAAGACAATAACACACAAGCCCCCACACTGCCCCTCTGAACCTACTGATACTTTATATAAGTAATCTTCCCACATCCTGTCTGTTATTCAGCTCTACTTCAGGCTGCAGCTGTCCAGAGAGTGGAGAGAGACCTCAACACCAACAACAACAAAGATATCCAGAACATCACAGGCTACAAAAGCAGGAGCGTTCCCCTCATGTGTAAGGCCATGCTACCAGATGAGCTAAACACATTTTATGCTCGCTTTGATCTCCTCAGCAAAGAGTCAGCTCTAAAGTCGACTCCACCTCCAGAGGATCAGCCACTGTCAGTTTCCACAGTGGATGTGAGAGTGAATGTAACTAAATCTTCTGGGCCTGATAACATCTATGGCTGTGTACTAAAACCATGTTTCAGTCAGCTAGTGGATGTCATTACTAACATTTCATATCACTGTCACAGAGAGTGTTCCCACCTTTTGACAGCCACCATCGTCCCTGTACCTAAAAAGTCTGCAGTATCTACCTCACCCCCATTCTGATGAAGTGCAAAGTGAGAAACTGGTTCTCCAGCGCATAAAGAAGAAAGTCTCTGTCAGCCTGGACCCCACCAGTTTGCGTCAGAGTGCTGTTTGTTAATTTCAGCTCAGCATTCAACACATTCTCACCCATGAAACAGGTAAACACAGCAGACAGAAATACACATGCAGGCGCACAGATAATGACTGCACAATACCTACTACTACTTACTACTACTGCACAATACTTAAGTATGATGTGTGTACGATTATTGTAAAGTGTTACCAACTCAATAATCTCTCACTGGAAACAAATCAGTGTCAGGAAAATAAATAAATAATACTCCTAACCAGTGACGGCTGGTGGAGATTTTGGGTGGGTTGCGCTACAACAACATTATAGAAAAGTACCAGCAACAATTTGCAACATCATGAATCTACAAAACCAAAGCAAAAATTCTTTGTAGAAGAGAGAGTTGTTTCAGAGCTTGGGCATACCTTATTTAAAACGCTGCTCACATCGACGGCCTTTCAGTGAAGCAAACAGGTTAATCACCATGTCAAACTCCACACTGCTGTACCTCACCATCAGCTCACCTTTCAGTGTCTCCCTGCAGATCATTGGGTAATGTGCACATGCAAAGACACCAAGTGCCTGGCTTTCTCAAAGCGAGCCTTTGACTTCTCGACCATTATGTGACAGCACTGTGCGGCTACTGACACATTATCAGAGCGCCGCATCCTGCATGGCGTTGCAGCGGCTGCAGCTGTGTCCGCATCTGGATGTGGCTGGTTGTCATCTGTGGTCAGCAGTTCAGATATGTAGCACGAACAATTCTCCAGGTCCTGTCTCGTTTTGAGAGAATCTGTGGTCTTAGACGTGTACTTTGCAACCTGTGTGTTTGACAGATGATCGGCTGATTGACTGTCTAAAAAAAAGAACTGGTCCCCGCTGGAGTGAAGTGGGAGATTAATCGGATCCCCGCAGGGCCTGCATTCATGTTTCCTAATTTTGTCGGATGAATATTTTAAATCCAGAATTCCTTGTTGGGTCCAAGCCGTGTCTCCTCCAAAAAGCAAACATGGGAAACAGAAAAGTGAATTCCTAGCTACGCTTGCTGTTAGCCAGCCCGTTAGCTGAAACCACAAAATTACGATTTTGTCGTTTGTCCTTTTGTGTTATTTGAACATCGTTTGGATGATGTGTTCCCAATCTTTGTATTTCCATTTTTTCCTCCAAAGACTTTAAAGAAAATTGGTTGGAAAGTAAATAATCCACCTCGTTTATGTTCATGCTAACGCCCGCCATACTACGAACTAGCCTCACCGCCGAAGGGCGGCATATGAAGGGGGCGTGTCACAACACCTGTCAATCACAATCGAACGGAACCTACTGTGCTTGGGCTGAATAAATTTAGCCCATTCACAGGAAAAACCCAGGATATATCATATATCCTGGGTTTGCTGTCACTTTTTGGTGCTGTTGCTGCTCTAGGTTCTACCAAAATTCAAAACAATATGTTCTAAGGTTTTTAATAATAGTTTCTCATCTTTACTGTAAAAGAGGGTAATATAGACTGTATATAGTGCTTTCCCTCCACACGGCGCAAGCGCCTGTAGGTTGGGGCAACTGGCGCACAGCAAGAGAGCGAAGGAGCTGACTTTTTATTTCCATATTTCCACTTTATTCTCAAAATTATATATTTCAACTGTATTCTCCAAATGCAAATAAACATCATTGTTATTTTTCTTCCGTATGCCTGGCTCTAATAATCCATTGTATGATGATCATGCTTCCTTTAGCTATATTTTATATGAACTCACCTTTTGTTATGTGTGTCCTGAGCTCTGTCTGGTCTGTGTAGATGTGGCGGTCCCACCTATATAGAGAGAGATCAGCCTCCTAACAACCCCCTCCCACCTGTTATCTGATGTGCTGTTAGAGGTTGAAGGAGCTGAGAATCTCTGCGTGAACATTACTTATTACTCAGAGATAACCAAAGGAAAAGTGAAAGTATGACTGACCTACAGCCTATAGCCTGAAACCATGTGACTTCAAGGACAACGATGTTTAAAAGGGCTCCGGATGTTCCTGGTTCCAACCACTAACAGTCAAACCCAACCCACTGACAGTAGTAGCCTCTATAAAGGTTTATGGTTACTTACAGAAGACAGCTCTATCTAAGATACCCTGCAAACACACTGCTTTTACATCAGAGACATTACGAGTAAAAAAGGGATAGTTGATAATAATAATAATAATAATAATCACGCATTGTATTTATAGAGTGCTTCACATAAGTTAAAAAAAGGTAATAGAAACAACACACTAAAAAATATAGATATATCTTCAACACTCAACAATGGATCCAACATGAAAGCAGTTCTGAAGAGGTGGGTTTTAAAGTGGATGGATCAGTACAGCAGTGGCGTATCCAGGACATTTTTACTGGGGTGGCCAAGATGGGACACAAAGCTAGTGTGGGGTGGCCATGGCATAGCGAAGTTTAATGCGTATACGTACGCAGCCGACCGCGGTTTTTCGAATCCCGGTCCTTTGCTGCATGTCACATCCCCTCTCTCTCCCATGATTTCCTGTCTCGTAACTGTCAAATAAAGGTGTCTATGCTGGTAAAAAAATATTTTTTAAAAAGTCATTTTGTTTTTCCATTTCCACCTATCATAGTCCTCAAGTATCTCTGGTTATTTTAACTGTCTGTTAATTGTCTAATTTCAATCAGTAATTATGTTCAGGATAGGGTACAAATTAGATTAGATTAGAGTAGCAAAATTCAACTGCTCTTAACTCATCCTATAGAATAACATTTATCAGTCATCAGCTCATCATCTGTGTCACCTGTACTGTTACCTGTGTTTGCTTTACTAATTGAGGCGCCATCTTGTGGTTACATGAAAACACAGCAATCCAGGCAACAGAACAAACCAAAATGCTTAAAGATAGGACCTTATTAAAAAGTGTACATAGGTAACAATACAGGTAACACAGATGATGGCCTGATGACTGAATGATGTCATTCTATAGGATGCTTTGTGATGTATGAAAATGTGCAAGAAGTGTTTTTTAACCCAGACAGTATTCATGTCCAAGGCCCCGATGAAGGTATAAATTGAAACTTTGGCTTTGATTCAGCATAAATTAAGAAGTTTATTTAAATCAAACAGTTAAGACATAGAATCATAAATGGTTAAGATGCTTCTTCATAAATTAACTTATGATTAATATACATAAACAATTGTAACATAAACCAAACAAATCTTAACTCCAAACAAAGTATATACTATAAAGTAATGTTATGTAAACCTTCAAACTCTCATGAACAATAGAGGATTCTAATTATAGTAATAAAGTGCAATAGAGGTAGCTAGTTAAATATACATAATATAACTTAAGGGTTAAGGTGCTTCTTCATAATGTAACTTGTGAAAATTGTACATAAACAGTTGTAACATAAACCAAACAAACCTTAACTACAAAACAACAAGACCATTAGACAAATTCTGTGCTCATCCAGCTTACATCAGATGAATTCTCCTGTTTTGGTGATTGGTAGCAAAAAGTTTAATAAACTTGTCCAGGTCAAGTGACTTTGCTCTTCTAGATTCAATGCTGAGAACACCCAGGTTGCTCAGTCTGTCATCTGTCATTGTTGTGCGCAAATGGGTCTTGATGAGTTTAAGAGCTGAGAAGCTGCACTCACATGCTGCTCTGCTTACGGGAGGGCTATGGCTATCTTGCACAGACGAAAAAGCTTGTGAAAAACATCCTTATGAGGTTCAGGGAACACTGCAAGTTCAACAATACCGGACAAGTTCGGCATTCCACTTTGCTGTTTCCTTTGCAAAAGCCTCCTTGTCTGGTGGAGTTCATGACTGAGATCTTCAGAGTCACTTTCATAAATTTCTCCCAGGCGAAAGACTGCTTCCTCTTGAAGGAAACATGTGCTTTTGGGGTCCAAAGCTTGTATTCCTCTCATTATTTCACAATTGTCTTTGGAGAAGCGCCTGTCTAACTCTCCAGGTATGGTGTCCACAATGGGGTAGAAGATTGTCCTCCTAAAGATATCCTTGTCACCATCGTTACATTTGCACTGACCCAATGTAGAGGTTATAACAGACCCACCAAGTCTGGAATTAACTTTTTGAGACCTCTTTTTTTCTGCATTTTCAATGACTATATTGCGCTTTGTGGCAGTGTCTACAATACTTTTCCACAGATTGTCAACAAATGTTTCACTTCTGTACTGCTTTGAGTGCACTTACTAAATCCACTGCCATGGTAAGGTCAAGTGAAGGAGATTGGAGGGTGTCAGACAGCACCTTTGCATCCCCAAGGAGCCTTCGAAAGGTTGCAAGAAGACTGACAAATCTTAGGTCTAGCTGAGTCAGCAAACCTCGAGCATCTACAGATCTTTCCCCACTATTTTCTGTAGCAATGTCATGCAGAACACGAAGTACAGCAGGTAATCGGTCCATTAGATTCCTGCAGGCCAAGTATCTACATGCCCATCTCGTGTCACTGAGCTTCTGCAACTCCCTCGGCTGACCTTCATACATTTCCTTTTGCACATCCAGCCACTTCTGGTGAACATAGGACCCAGACATATACACATAAAGCTTCTGCAGTAGTGCAAAAAAGCAATCAGCCTCTGGGACTCTCTTCATGGTATCAATGAGTACCAAGTTCATGCAATGTGCGTTACAGTGTACATAAACTGCATGTTTCACTCATTACTGATGCTCCACCATAACCTTGTCCAACAAGATTGGATCTGTACTCAAGTCCATATCTTTCCAAACAGTGGATGATTTTGTCCTTGAGTCCTTCTGCATCTAATCGTGTAGCTTGTTGAAAGTCAAGAAAACTTTCGTGCACTGCCCCATTGTAGTAGTATCTAAGTACCAGTGAGAGGTGCTCCTTCTTTTTCAGGTCTTTGGTTTCATCACCAATCACAGAGAACACTTCACTTTCCTTCACTTCCTGAATTATCTCCTCACGGACCATATTTGCCAAGCATTCTAGGATTTCATTTTGTATTACACTGCTTGTGTACTTGGCATTCTGCTTTCCCTTCATTTTCTTCTGTACCACTGGGTCATGCTTTGCAATCATTTCCAAAATTTCTAAAAAGTTTCCTCTGTTATCTGCCTCTTCTGTCTCACGGTGACCTCGTTGTGCAATGTTTTGTGTTGCCGTCAAAAGAAGTACTTCAGCCACTGTTTTAATATATTTTTGATTCTCTTGGACTTTCTTGTTGTATGCTTCATTAAGGGCATCACGTATGGAAGAATCTGTTAGTATTGCCTTCTTGCGCTCACCCCATGCAAACATGGCATTGGCATGGCATGGCCTCTGACTTTTCATGTACTTTAAATCCACCATCTTTGTACATTGCCTTTTTCCAATGAGAGAATCCCAGTTGTGATGTGAATACAGATGCTGGGGTGTTTGGCAAAGAGAAGTGTCGACATGCAAAACAGTAGGCAGAGTTTTGGCTTTGGGAGTACTCAAGCCATGGGTGTTGTTTATACCACTCCCTGTTGAAGGACCTCTTCCTGTTGCCTTGCATGGTTCGGGGAAATACCTTAAGTTGAGGCTGTGTAGGACTGTGAAACGTCTGTAAATTATAAATACTTGTGATCAGTTTTTATGAAGTTTCATTCAAAATGATTAGTTACAAAGTGAAGTTGTGGTCGGTATTACAACTTCCATGTTATTTAAATGGAAGGCACTCATAATGTTATGTAAACTGAAAGATAAAATGCCACAACATACGGTGAGGTCCAGGTGGGGCAGCATGTACTTGTGCAACATGAGGAGCCTCTCTGTCATCGGTGTCACCATCACCTACTGACATGCCCTCTGAATCACTTTGCTCACTAGATGAAGTACCTGAAGTAGTAAAAACAATAACCATTACACCCATAGACTGTATGCGGACAGATTAGTGTCACACATTTTCCTTTGTCTTTTCATAATGTTTTGTATTGAGATTTAAAGAATAGATTGTCTATGTTTAAGTGTGGGGTTTGCTGTGTATTAGCAAATGAATAGCATACACAATTTGACCGTCCTTTAAATTAAATAAGTATCAATACTGCTGTACCTAGGCTGCTGACTTGACTGATCCTTTTCACTGCTGCTGGTAGAAGCTGTGGCTGGCTCTGACTCTTTTCTCTTTTTTTTGAAGAAGCTCTGAATATCTCTGCTTCTCTTCATAGCTATTCTCTTAATATCCCTGGGGGAAATGTAATTTAATCACTCAATCACTCAATCAATCAGTCAGTCAATTCACTTTGAAGTAATAGCTATAACTACAAACGTCAAGCAGTATCATTGTCAAATTGGGTTAGAATCAGTGTGCAAAATACAGGTGTTTGTGGGGCTCTGGACCCCCTTAAATAACAGCTTTGACTCCATTAAAATGTCAAAACGAAAGGAGGTGTCAACAATGTGCCTAATTATGTCTATTTATAGGATCTACAAAGGTTTATTACACAACTACCACTTCTTACCACTCACTTTTAATAACACAATTAACATATATTGCATCTCAAACATTTGTGGCATTTGAATGTAATTTGCTCTGCCTCTGCCTATTTAAACGTCTAAAAACATGTGACCTGTGAAGATGAGCTAATTGATACAAACAAAAAGTCCTTCATCTCCAAGAGAAATAAGTCTTTAAACAGCCCTTAAAGCACAGAGCAAATAAAGAAGTCACAGCTTGTTCTTGTGTTAGAGCTACTTTAATCTAGACTGTCACTCTATATTTCACACACTGGTTGACCAAAAATATAACATTAGCTCTATTGAACACACACATCTGCAAAAAAACACCCTCAGTCTTCCAGAAACATCTGTACTGTAGTTTATTTAGGACTTTGGAGGATGTAGCACACAGGATGCTGTTACAATAGTCGATAGTTGGGGCTGGCTGTGGCCTCCAGCACATTACACTCAGTGTCAATGAACAGTGAATCACTGCTGCTGCTGTGTTCTGGGCCGTTCGGGGATCAGCTGTAGCAGGAGCAGGCAGCCAACCAATCACATTACTCTGGAATAAAACCAGAACGAACCATTGGCTGGAGGAGTACAGGCACATGTCTCCTGACGTCGCTTGGTTTCTACCAATAACATCCCTAACCATGCCCACGGCTCAGGGTTTCTTTAATATATATATATATATATATATATATATATATATACATATATCACATTAATATTCATGAGGGTCGTAGATCTGAATCGTGATTGGAGGACTAATGAATGATCATTTCCTCATTACTCCTTTTTTTTTTTTTTCACGTTTAAGCATATAAAGTTTTTTACATTAAGAATAAATAAAAAATAACAAAATAAATAATGAAGAATAAATAAGAAGACCCTGTGAATCCAGGACAAATATATAGTTTTATTATCAGTCTCACAAATGTACAGAGAAAATGGCAGTTTGTTTCAACAACATCCAAATGTAAACAAAATAATTAGTTTGTCTTTGGCTTTTTTCTTCTTTTCAGCTAAGAAAATATTTAATATCTGTTAACTCTCAGAAAAAAGGCATCATTGTTCAGAACTCTGGCCACAAAATCATGAGCACTATTTCATCTTCTTTAAGGTCCCTTTGATTCTAAAGATCAATTATATGTGCAGATATTCATTTTCCTTCATGAGGGAATTCCATTTGAAGGAAAATAAGTAACACACTGCCTCTAACACACAGTGCTGATGTTTGTTTAGTGTCATAAAGCGTCATTGCGTTCTTTAAATAAGCTTTGCTAAACACATTTCTCTGGTCTAAGGAGCACAGTCAGAACAACAGACTTTATTGGACTGAGACAATCAGTGCAAAAATTATAATGTCAGAGTGTGTGTGAATGTAACACCACCCTTGTTAAATGACCTGCTTCACGTGATAAAACCTTCTGCATATTTGCTGCTGTAGTGTTTGTGTCTGTGTCTATTTTCCAGGTGATCCTTACATTGATGTGAATGTTTGGGTTCAGTATACTCGCTGATAGTAAGAGTTAACAGGACCCACCCTGGAAAAACAAGAGTTTTCCAAAATGATTAGCATATGTAACATTGTGGGAAAAAATATCTTCATGTATAAAACAGTGTCATTTTAAAAATGTTCATATCAATAAAATGCAAAACAGCAAAACCAATAAAATCCTACAGTCGTATTCTTGTTTGAGAGAATGAGAGTGGATGATCCAGCTCCACCAAAATAAAAGTAACAGATCATTGATTGCTAATCACTTCCAGTATTTTCCTCTGGTAACCGATAACTGCCCAGTCTTTTACAGAAGCTCTGCTCTACCATTTAGCAGTCATTTTCTGGTGTCATGTGGTCTGTTAGATAATTTCTCTGCATGAGTGCCGACTGACTTCACTCTCAAACCAAATAAATTAATTACACACACAATGTAACAAAATGCCATCACACATAGAAACTAGATCCTATTACTGGCTGGTTAATTGCTATATAAAGCAGCCAACAGGCTCGCAGTGACCTTCCCTTTTAGTCTGTTACTATAAAAAATAGCTTTGGGCCTAGAAACGACTCTCTCTTGAGAATCCTACATTTGTCTGGTCCAAGTCATTTCAGTATGGACCATTTGATCTGCTCCTTGGCCGACTGTAGAACCTGGAAAACAGAGAGAAAGAATCAGAATATGTATTAATAGAAGAAAAATACATATGGAGTTAAATGTAGCGTGATGTAATGAAGAAAACACCATTAATTATGAAGTATAATACAGCAAAATATAATCTACAGAACAATTTTCAACAAATACATCTGATTGTTGTGCTTATGTTGCCCTTAATGTAAGTGCTGGGCATCAAAACACTGGTGCACAGGCACTACGATATACAACTCATAAACTGCATATGTTCTATAGTAAGGATTCCCAACACGGGGGTCGGGAAAGCTTCACAGATGCAAGGTCCTGTTGATTTTATGGGGTGTAAGAAAACTTGAAAGAATTGTGTTTATTTTTGTGAAGAAAACTAAATGAAATTATTCTTTTTAGTTTTTTAAGTTTAGATGTTTATTTGAAGATCTAAACTTCAAAGACCTGAGCACACGCTATATTCACAGAGCCTGCACTCTCTGATAAACAGCTTTGTCCTGCATTAGAAGAGTAGAGTTAAAACAGCCAAAGGGCTAATAGAACAATGGCCAAGCATCAGGGGAAGAAAATACTAAATTTGTCCAAAAAAAGGTCTATTATGTATCATTGGTAGAAACGAAATAGACATAACACAGAGAGTTCTTAAAAACATCAGGAAAACTTTTCTTTGATACAATATCCACAGGAAATAATCAAAATTCATCCAAATTAATTGTTTTACACAAACCTCCTGCAGCTATTGTGTTCATTGTACAGTTTATCAGTTGTTCTGTGCTGTTAGTGATATAAATCGAATGTAAAATTAAATATCCATAAAATATGTGACTTAGTTACTCAATGAAAGAAAAGGAGTTGCGTCAGGAAAAAGGTTGGGAACCACTGCTCTATAGTACATAGTTACTATAAAAGAGTTTGTACTGTATACAGGAGCTGAGTTACACTGTGGGGTTGAATGGGCCTCCTCCATAGGTTAGAATACATTACATAACTCATAATAACTCAATACTAACTGTGCATGTCATCATAATGACCTTATGTACTGTACAGTTGGTCAGTGTGGAACAGTGGATGGAGTCTGTACTGCACACACATTGAACTGTCACAAATACAAGTGTGCTCAGGGGGACATCAGTACATTATATAACTCATGAACTGTACATATCATCATTAAGATACTATGTACAGTTAACTAATAAAGACCTGCTTCATTCTCAGCTCAAGAGAGTGAAAAAAATGAAATATAGGCCTGTGTTTGTTTACTCAGTTTCATGCCACCATGTTGAGAAGAACAACAGGCAGGGTTAGGACTTAACAAACTAGTTCAAAATAGTTAAAAGTCACTAAAGTCGCCACGTTGGCAACACTCTCTATGATTGATTTTGTGTGTGTAAGCATGCATTTCGAGTGCTGACAACAGGGATACTTCTCACCTGAAAATGTTCCTTGTATCACATACCATAAAACACAGGCCTACATGCGCTGTAATTAATGACTATTTTTTACTATTACTATTACTTTCTATTAAATTACTATTAATTATTGTGAAATGTTGAAAGGAACTATTAATTAAAGATGCTCATTAAAATCTAAAATCTATTTTTCCACTTTTAACTGCTGAATTCTTTCATCTGAGCTAAATAAAGTTTCATCTATTTTTTTTTGGACCCAGTGGTTCTCAAACTGGGTTAAATATAAGACAAGTGTGTTCTGGTGCGAGCAGGGATATCAAGGTTCAGGTGAAACACAAGATGGATAGACTTTTGAAAGGAACAACAGCCAATGGTCAGTGAGGAAACGTTACTGAAATCTACCACATGATGAAGACTCTGACGAAGTTCCCTATCCCTGTAGCTGGAGAGCCTTGTGGAGTTTTTGGGACTATGTGTGTTTTTTCTCTGTTCCTCTCCGTCTTTTGGTGAACAAGCTTCCACTGTTTGTGTCCTCCTCATCTTAGACTTGTTGTTCCTCATATTAACAGCAGGGGGCACATGGAACTAAGGTAACATTCACTGCAGTGTGGGATCCTGGGAAATGCAGTCACATGAGGTCCTTACAGTGTTCTACTGCAGCTTTCGTCTATATAACAGGTGTATACAGTGTTGTAGTGTAACGTATTGCTTGCTACAGTGTGCATACTCTACATATGGAGGCATTTGTTACAACTTAATATGTTAAAGTGTTAGGCAGTTCTATGTAATTGTTGTTATACTACTGTATACTGTACTGTACAGTAGCATAGGTTTTTACCTCTGTGAACTATGCATTTAGTGAGGATGGACCTTGCTCTTGAATTCTCAGTGAGGTAACAGTGACTGGGTGGCATTGATCAGTGGTGGAATGTAACTAAGTACATATACTTGTATTTTCCTTGAGTATTTTCATTTCATGCTACCATCTACTTCTACTCCACTACATTTCAGAAAACTGATACACTGATAAAACTCAGTATTAGGATTAGCACCAACTTCAACAATTAAATGCCACTTACACATTAATATAATAATAATAATAATAATAATAATAATTCAATTAGATATATCAGTATAACTAGAGCTGCAACAATTATTGGATTAATCGTCTTATCAACTAAAACATTATTTGCCAACTAGTTTGATAATCAGTTAGTCATTTTGAGTCTTTTTTTCCAGACAGAATGTCCAAATTCTCTGATTTCATCTTCTCAAATGTTAATATTATGTAGTTTCCTCTAAGACAGTAAACTGAATATCTTTTGGTTGTGTCACCTTGAGCATTGGCAAACAGTGGTCAACATTTTTCACCATTTTCCGACTTTTTCTGGATCAAACAGCTAGCTGATTAATAGAGAAAATGATAAGCAGAATAATCAATAATGACAATAATTGTTAGCCCCAAGTATAACACACGTAGGGGCCATTTTACTGCATTATGAGTACTTGTTTTTGACACTTTAAGTAGATGTGCTGATAATACTTACATACTTTTAGCAAAATGACATTTTTAGTGCAGGACTTAACTTGTAATGGAGTATATTTTGCAGCATTGCTACTTTTACTTACTTTTAGGATCCAGCTCTGATCAACAACCCCCTAGTTTTTATTCTTGTTGACAAGATTTAATAATGTGCCTCAGTCTGTATGTTTCATATTTGTAGCTGTGTACTCTTGATCAGCTACTAGTGTTTATACTCATTCATTTCATACCCTTGCATACATCTTAAGTATTATTTAATGACAAAAGAATGGAAATTTTTTCTCCCAAGTTTGGATAGTGCTTCTATCAAGGCTCGGTGACATTTTAGGGAAGAGGCACTGCCTTCAAGACTAAAGTCAGGGAACAAAAGACTCTTGTCCTCAATAAACACCACAGATTACATGAAAGACTAACATGCGAGGCTGCTGCCTTGATATGGAAGGTGTACACTGATACACATCTCTTGCTATTTTAGGTAAGTATATGTAAATCCCCCTGCCCAGAGGAAAAAGCTTGCATATAGACAGCACTGAGACTGTAGCAGTATGGTATATGATACAATATGATACAAGAGAGTTCATTGTCCCTGTGGGGACACTGTGTCTTAGTCTATAGCAGAGATTCACAACCATCTCTCAACCTCGGGGTCCTGATGTCCAAACTGGCAAATTTCAAGCTATTGTTAAAATTAGAAAATTAAGTAATACAAATAAGGATACAAATCCCTCGTTATTTCGTTTTGTGTTACATGTGCCTACATAAAGATGTACAAAATGAAATTCTAAATCAATTTCCCCGACCTTTCAAAAGTTCTAAATCTTCCACAGGTCCAGTATTGAATAAAAGAACACTGACTATCCAGCCTGTTGTTATTATAAGCCCATGGTGTTGGTTGGCAGTCTCAAAACAATTTGAGGCACTCTGATTATAAATATAAAAATCCTTTATTCAATCATGGATAAACCCATTCATCCGAGTGGGTGGAGGTACCCTAATGAAGACCCTCGAAACACGTTGGTTTATCCATGATTAAATAAATATAAAAAAACGAAATAAATAAATGAATATATGTTTAACACCATGGACTCTGATTAACACAAAGCTGGACAGTAGTTCGAAGTAACTCGACTACTTACCTTAGCCTTTAAGAGCTACTGATTCTCTACTTTAACCATTACCACCATTTCGTTTTTGACCTAGTGCACTTTTTTTTCAGTGTTATGGAAGAGTAGGCTGTAATGGCAGCGTGCAGTATGCAGTGTTACAGTAGAATAAGCTTTGTAGTGCAGTGTAGGGCTTTTGTGACGTTAGCAGAGACTTACGTTAGTGGTGAGAGCCAGTTTCTCTGTTATGTGCTGTCAGGGTTGAAGCAACAGAAAGAAGAGCTTAGAGCATGAGTACACACACACAAACACTCTCCTCTACAAGCAAGCACAGAAACATGTCCGTGCACATGTTCATTCCTGCACACAAGCAGGGAGTCAGATGGAAGCACATCAGAAAAACAGTAATGACTGCAATAAAAAACTGTTTTAGTGATGGAATACTATCAAAATAGATCAAATCTTTATGGCAAAAGAGTTCTCTGATCAGCGCCGCAGTTTAACATCTGTCCAGTACTTTGTGACCCACAGCCCTTTAATCCAGCTATCCATTTATTTATCCATCAATCCGTTCATTCACAGGTGAGCCTGTTAGTGCTGTCCCATTCTTTTGAGATGAGGCCAAGCTAGCTGCCACCTCAGCATGCATGGTGAACTAAAGCGTTAGCATGCAGCCTGGTGAATCTGCAGAAAGATGTCAAACTGCTACCAATCCTTCCGTCAGAGAACAACCAGCCTTCTGCCATGAAGAGTGTGGGAGTTAAGCTCTGTTATACTATAAGCTAATGCTTTCAGAGAGAAGCAGTTGCGAGGTTTACATGTTAATAACAGTATAGAAATGAGGTCAACATGCAGTGTTTGCAGCCGGCACTGTGTGTCTGTATGCGTGGCTGAGTATTTGTGTGTATGTGTAACCACATCTGCATGTATCTGGGAGTGTACGTTTGTGTTAAATGTGAATTTTTTATGCACTTCCCCAATTAAATCTGTTCCATTTCTGCTTCTGTCTTTACTGCCCGTCCACATTGCCAGCATTAAAGGAATAGTTCGACATTTTGGCCAGTAAGTGTAGCTTAACATAAAGACTGGAAACAGCTAGCCTGGCTCTGTCCAAAGGTAAATACATCTGACTGTCTAAAGCACCTTTCACATTGGACTAAAAAAACAACTAACACCCACTAACATCTGGCTTTTGTCTTGTAGGGTACAATCGTAATTCATTACTCTGCAGTAGTTCTGGGTATTTATCTGCTACAGCTCCGATCGGCTGTGATGGCAAAATTATACCCTTTTCCCGGCTTGAAATTCCGGACGTTGGCTTGCAAATAACCAGGAACATTATTTATTCTTTTTTACAATCTATGGGAACAACCAGCAATGGCACATTTTTTTTGTAAAAAAAAAAAAAAAAAAAAAAAAAGGCAGCTGTGCAGAACTTTACTGTAAAAATATGGTAGAACTCGTCTACTATTATTGTAAAAAGATATAAGTAATGTTGTTTTTAACCTTTAATCTATATTTTACCATACAAATACAAGTTTTAACCATCAAAAGAAGGTGGATTTTGTTACCTTGGAAAGAAATATTGGACAGAGCCAGGATAGCTGTCACCTCCAGCTGTTAAGCTAACCAGGTGCTGGCTGTAGCTTCATGTTTACCGTACAGACATGAGAATCTAAGCTTATTAAGCTTATTTTCCAAAATGGCAAACTTAAAAAAAGACGATCTGAAGAAAGATCTGATCTGGCATTGTGAGGGAGCACTGATATTGTCAGCAGTTCATGTTTGTCACACTGCATGTCAGCCATTAACATTGTGTGTTACTTTGTAAAATTGGTAAAATATTTGCTAAAATGCCTGAGCGAGGTGATCGCAAACTGCAGACACAGCACATTCCCCTTTCTGGCATGGACAGCAAGTTAAAGGACAAAATATTGCAGCAGGCATTGTTGCAGGGAAACACAAGGTGCATAAAGTATTGCCATCTAACATATTAGTGTGTATCTGCATGTGTACATAACTGCACTAGAGCATATGTGTATATGTAACATGAATCTATTGTGTGTACAACTCTATCAGTATTATTAACTTGTATGTGTGTGTTACCTGGGCCACGCTTTGTTCAGATAATGGGTTTTCATCCGCCTGTAAGAAAAAAAGACATTATTAAAGACATCAATGGGTGTTCAAGAGAAAGATGCAAAACGTATGCTAAATACTTGATACACACACACACACAATACAAAAGCAAAGCACTGCACACACCATCCGATCTGTAGAAACACCATTACATACTGTGGATCAGTGACATTCAAAGCATGTTGGTTAAGAGCTCAGCCAATCACAACTCATTAGAGTTTATAGCCAGGCTCGTGGTGTGGCTCTAAGGTCGACAATGTTGTTGAAATAACTCGACAGCTATTGGAGGGTTGCCTTGACATTTGCATATGGTCCTCAGAGGATCACAAAAAGTAATGTTGCTTCATCCTCTAACTTTTCCTCAAGTGACACCAGCAGATCAAGATTTTAATATAGGGGTGTTGCAATATACCGTTATTCACAATAACTCTGGTATTTAAAGTCCCCCTCCACTCAATAATATGTTTTCTTCTTATTCCTACAGTGTGCTGTTTGATCTTCATTGTGCAGAATGCTGTCTGTGCACAGTTTGACAGAAGGATGTTTTCACATTCATCTGCTGAAAGTGGAAAGTTTCTCTGTGCTCCCTGATTTTAAGGGGCGGGGCCTACCCTACATCACCAATAGTTTGGAAGTCCATCCTGGTCCAGTATGCAACTTGTACAGTGTGATGTAGAAACTTAAAGCCACCAGTGCTCATTCACTGAGAATGGACTTTACAGTGAAGTAGGAGACATCTTGTGTCAGCAGGAAAACATTTTTCCATATTCAGAGATTCTGGAATTTCGAATGAGGTAGAAGAAGTAGATGTCTTTTAATGTGGAAAATATATATATATATAAATACTTTTTTTTTGCAGATAAAACATATCAGATAGGCATTACTGTTCCAAGCAGACTATCTGCATGTATCTTGATACATGTCTGAAGGGACTACAATATACACTTGATAATATTGTGTAAAAGTAAAGTGCCTCTTTAATAATTTTAATTTCTTTCCGTTGTCTCTTTGTGGTTCACACTCAGTGTAATTGTTCTTGTTGTTACACTTTTGCAGTTTTTTTCACAGACTCTCTCTCTCCTGCAGTTCAATTGCCAAAAAGGATATATAAAAAATAAGGAAAATTTACATATAGCATTTTCATTTTCATAGATATCGCAATTATTGTGAATTCTTTTGGCCACAATAATCATGTAGTGAAAATCTGTTTTGTGACAGCCCTACTTTAAATATAGAAAAAGCTCTGTTCTCACTCTGTTAGTCAGCATGCTCTCTCACCGTGGATTTACCTCATCTGTCTCGCCCATCCCTCCTGCGCCCCTTCACTGTCTCTTTCTCACTCTCATTCATTCCTGCTCTCTCTCCACTTCACTATCTTTCTCTTCATTTCTCTCTCACCCTCTGTCTGTCTGTCTGTCTGTCTGTCTGTCTACAGCAGCTGGCTCTTGTCTGTTTGTCCCTCTAGGTTACCAGTGATGTAATCAAACAGGACGAAGCCATAGGCTGGCTCTGACATTAGCTGACACCAATCAGAGGGAGAGAGACAGGGAGAGGGAGAGAAAGAAAGGTAAAGCAGGTAAGAGTAGGCAAGGAGCTGATGAGAAAAGCTGTGGGAGTCTTAATGTTGTCTTTCTGAACAGGCCAAACAACTGCTCTGATTGTTTTATACAATATAACATTTGGTTTCCATTAGATTTTCCCAATGATTCAAATCAATAAATACATTGATATGATTGGTAGAGGGCATTTAGTGTCATCTTACCCTGTAGTTGACCTTCTGTAAGACCTGCTGGGGGTCACTCTCCAGAATCACCCTGGCAACAGGATAAAGCAACCAATCAGGACCAAGCACAGCACAAGCAGGACTGGGAGTATTTATGGGATTCTTTTCTGACATTTTATAAACTAAACAGCTAAGCTAGCTCATGTGTAAGATAGTTTGAATGGACAGTAAATTGACACAAGGTTTGTGTTTCAGTTGCTTTTATAGATGGAAAAATGTGCACATTACATACATTCTTTACCTCGAATCAGCTGTAAACGTTATTTCTCTCTTACCCTCCATCAATGATTTCATCCACAACCAGGAACACTCCTTCCATGTTGTCCAGTAAACACCGACGCTCCACATTCTTCCTGCAGAAAAACACAACAACTAGCCACATTCAGTCCATAATATATAATAATAATAATAATAATAATCATATTCATTTTCAAACATTTGATCATTCTCCCAAGGAAAGGAACAGTTTGACATTTTTGGAAAATCCAGTTATTGGCTTTCTTGGGACGGATTAGATGAAAAGATCCATACTGGAGTCAGGTGACGACTAGCTTAGCTTAGCAAAAAGACTGGAAGGAGGGGGAATAGCTAGTCTGGCTCCGTCCAAAGTTAAAAAATACAGCAATTAACAACTCATATTTTTTTGTTTTGTTTTACAGCTGTAAAAATGACTCCTTGTGGTTTTAGTGGAGGTTGGTAGAACTACAGTGGCACTATTTAACTGTCACTAGCTAACTGTGGTAACATTAGCTATCAGATGTAGCTAGCTTAAGATTGATTTAGATTAGTTAGCCAGCGTTTGGCTAACATTTGCTAACTTGTTGTTATACTAAGGCTAGGTACTTCATTATAATGCTTTTTGTCACACATTTTACCTTTATCCAGAAATTGCAACTTATGTGATTTCGATATTTTACATTTCCATATTGCGATTTTGATAATATTGCGATTAATTGTGGGGCCCTATATGTATGTCGCTTTTAATTTCAAAATGTGGTTGTCTTTCCAACAGAGACGAGCCTAGCACATAGCATAGCCTAACTAAGTTCAGAAAAGGAGAAGGTTATCTATTAGTTTGTGAATCGTTGTAAAACACGTTTTGTGTGTGTGTGTGTGTGTGTGTGTGTGTGTGTGTGTGTGTGTGTGTGTGAGGTTTTGGCATGGTTCTAACTCCATAGGTCTCCCCCTGCTTCCAGTCTTGCTAGGCATGGCTAATGGCCTCTTGACTCCAGCTCCATACTTAACACAAAGACATGAGAGTTGAATCAAACTACTCATCTCACTCTCAAAAATCAAAAGAGAATTTCACAAAATGTCCAACTGTTCCGTTAACATCAAAGTTCATTCATCATGTCCTCCATTAGAAACATTCAAATCCTTCTGTTCAACTTTATCAGATCTAATTAGGAGGACACAACAACACCAAATGGAACTTTGAATACCATGATACAGTATTTGTGTAACAACATTATTAACAGGCCTGCATGGAGAATATTTACTATTCTAGTTTAAAATAAATGACGAGACCAGTAAACAGTTTTACAGTTTTTGGGGATTTTACACTGTAATTCTACATTCTGGACATTTACATATTGAACTGTGCAACTTAGAATAACCTTTAATCTTTCATACTGTATAATAATATTATCTCTCAGTGTCTCTGTCTCTGCATTACTGCATCGGTTACCATAACAACCACATCAAGCCGCTGTTTGGCTGATAATGTTGCAGTCAACAGTGAGGGATCCTGGTGTGCAACACACACACGCACACACACACACACACAATCACACAAACACACACACAGATGGCTTTGCAAACTCATCTTGGCATTTTCTAAAATGTAAAATCTAAAAATGAGAACTTGGTGTCATAGTGTCGTCATTCAGCTGAGTTGTTTGTCAAACATTCTTCTAATTAAATCAGGATCGCCTTTCAGGTAAAAAATACACACTGCTGTTGACTTTTACATCAAATTCAACACAGAGACCCATTATGTCCCTGAGAGGCTGTGGTGGAGGGATGGCAATGTCAGTGTGGAGATTAGCATTGATGATGCTGAGACTACATGCATGAGAATGCCTCAATATCATGACAGTGCATGTGCATGAAGAAAAGTAGGTGATAAATGCAGGGTTTACACCTTCTGGACGGTCGGCCGATTGGTTGATTGATACGCTCTTTCTCAATCTCATTGGGCAGACAATCCCTGGTGTAAGAGTAAAAGCACTCCTTAATCCATTATTTTCAGGGGCGGGAAGGACACATGTAGACCTGCTGTATTTTAGTTTTGAGTGGTATGTTGTAAGAAATAATTATGTATGAAAATAATATTCAAATATGTTTTACTACAACTGTGGTTTTATAATCATATGGTTTAATAGACAACACTGTAAGTCAGGAAGTCAAAACACCCCTGTCTTCACAACTTTATTTGGCAGCCTGGAGACTGCAGGACTTAACTTCCTGAACATTTAGACATCCCCAAACTAACTGACACAATGTCAAAAAACCTCTACATTGGCCCCCAGCATCAGAGGACAGCAGAGCGGAATGGATAAAGTTTATTTTTGATGTGTGTGTGTGTATGTGTACTGGCTAACCGTGACCCGACCACAAACCTGCTGCTGTAAGTTTTGCCATGTTTTATGGGTTTTTAGTGTTTATTGTGTTGTTAAGCATGCTGAATTTTGCTTTGGCATGTTGCTACGTGGCTACTGCCTCAGGCTGTGGGCTTTTGGTAATACTGAGGGACAGTTGTGAGAGCATTGTGTTTTTTGATGATGATGATGTTTTTTCACGTTGCTTTTTCTGGAGCGGCTTCGCTTTATACTGCGTAAGCTTTGTTATTTTGCTATGTATCTGTGTGTTTTTATGTTCCTGCCGTATGTAAATTTACTTATAGTAAGCAAATGGCTTTACTATAGACAAAGCCATTAAGGTAACAATTTAGTTACGTGTGAAAAACAAAAGACTAAAGTGCAGGAATTCATTTTCTTGGCAATGTTGTGTAGTTTTGATTTGCAAAGCAAAATTTCAGTGTCACTCCAGCAACATGACTGAAGCTGTCAGATTGAACATTTCTGTGAAAGAGGCCTCTTATTTTTGTCAATTTTTCCATATCCTGAATGCATCAAATAATTCATGTTTTCTATGATGTAACATTTGGCTTGATGACTTGATGAGAGAACGTACCTGAGGATCTGACTGAGAGACTCAAACAGGCAGTTCAGTACCGACATCAGCATCAGCTGCAGAGAGAGAATAAAAATAAGAAACAGGAGGACAATTTTGAGATAACAGAGCTCGAGCTTAAAGGTGGATTACTTCATTTACTCAGTTCAAGAGCAAGCTAAAAACTTGATATGGCAAAGGTGTTAGCAAACTATAGAGTTCTGCAGGATGACGTCTTTTCTTAGGCCAACCCGAAAGACAGCCTCGTCCTCGACAAAAAGCCAATAGGTCTTTTTCTGTTAAATTTGGATTGCTGCAGAAAATTAGGTCTGTGACACCTAAAATAATTTTATTTGATCATTGTCTGTATAAAATATTGTTTTTGCAGAGAAAACTAAATTTACCTCGTTCTCCTGAGCACTTCCCACCACGTAGAAGAAGAGATCTATACTGCTCTTATAGACAATGGTCATCCCCTCCAAGAACGCTATCTCATCTACAGAGAGAAGAAGAGAGGGATGGGTTAGGGATTAGAAAAAGGACAAGCAACTCTTTTTCAAATTTTATTTCACCTAGGCAGGATCCAAAAGTACATTTAATGGAACAACAGACAATTTAAAATACAAAGATTTATAACAAGCTCCATTCAGTCAGGGAGGCTAGAGAAAAAGAAGGGGAAAAGATGGGCTAGAAATGAGCACGAAAGAGAAAAAGATGGAAAAAGAAGGTAGAAGTTGTAGAATGGGGATAGACGGGGAGAGGAGACAAGGAAGGGTGAGAGAAACGGAGGGAGTGATGGGATGCTTTAAGGAAGGGGAGAGCAGGACAAAGGGAGGATGAGTTGGGAGGGAAGGAGAGGGGATATAGCATGACATGGGAGAAGAAAGAGAAGAAAAAAGAGAGGAATGCAGGAGGAGTTTAGAACAAAAGGAGGAATATACTGGGTGGGTGATACAGAGAACAGGGCCAGAGACTCAGGTGACAGCTGTGTGAAATCCTACTTAACCCTGAAAATGAAACTGCAAGTGTCCATCTGGTTTCACTCAACAGACAAATACCTGTAGCGTTGGTTTAAAAGCTAGCAGAAGACCCAAAAGTCACCATTTTCCTGATTTTAAAGGTTCACACTAAGGCTACTGTAAAAAAATCGCTTTAGGCTAGTATCACTATGTTTGGCTGTAAGACGGTAGAATGTGTAACAGATGACATTGGAGACGTGTGTGAGTGTTCAGTACAATACGCAGGGAGGGCCACATCCAGCACACACAACAGAGAGAACAGAGAAAGAGAGGAACCTACTGTCTGCTTTGTGTGTCTTGTTGAAGACATTCTTCTCAAAGTTCTTCTGTTCCTTCATGGAGGGGTAAAGGTCACGGTCATAGTACTGAAACAGACACATACAGCACATGAAGCACTGAATGAACTTTGGCACACACCCTGCTGGGTTAAGGGTTTCATTCTCTTTGGGGGTAGTCCCTCTAAACATATAAGAACGGATGTATGTAGGTGCAGATATTCAAAATGTACTAGGGGACCATACCAGTAGTTTTGCATGTTTTAGTCCATTAAAGTTAGAATCCTCACTATTTTATGGGTTTTTTTTCATGTTTTTGATACCATTTATGGTCTGTGTTATAAGAGAAATAGCTGTTCAATGTATTTACATTCTGTAATGACAGTAAGGATTGATCACTTGCTCGGGGCAGTGAAATGTCACTTTGGGCAAGTGAATCTAGCAACTCACTGCTCACCAATCAGGAAAGTGGTAAAAAATCATCTCCCCTCCTTCACATCTGTGTTGCACATGCTAAGTACTGATGGGGCACTCACGAGAAAATGGCAGCAGGTAAAGAAGAGCGGAAGCACAAGCGGGCATTCCAGTTATCCTGGAAACAGGAGTTTAGTTTGGTGGCATTACGGAAACTCCAGCTAAAAAACGTTTTTATCTTCAGAAGCCGCAACTGGAGTTCCATTGAGTCTACCATGTAGCCCAGAACAGACAAACCCAATATTGGCTCTCGTGGTTGCTGTAGTTTCTCCTACACACTTCAGCGTCCGTTCTCATTCCCAGGTCGTTGGATACAGACAGCAGCAGTGTTCTGTTAGTTGCAATCTGCAACTTCACCACTAGATGCCACTATATCGTGAGTGCAATGGTAAATCTGCAGAGTGCTCTTTCCACAATTTGCTACAGCTGCTGCTTCACATATTTAGAATTAAACTGGCAAAACACAGGGTGGCTTTCATTCACCTCAGATTGTAGTATGTTTGGACAAAGCCAAACTTGCTGATTTCCCTGTTTGCTGCTGGTAGTGGATTCATATTTACTCTATGGACATGAGAATGGAATCAATTCTCTAATCTAACTCTCTGTGACAAAACAAATTAACGAATTTCCCAAAATGTCAAACTATTCCTTAAAGAGGAATTATGAAAAACACCTTTCATCGAGGGTTTACAATTTGAATCCCCTATAGGAAAAAAAACATTTAAGTATGGCTAGATAATCCACATATCGAATACTTTGGGGTTCAAGGACTACTAACAAATGCAAACTACATGTTAAGCTTTACATTGAATGAAATTAAACTTGTGTTTTGTATACTTTGGAAGGTCTGCAGTGCAGTAAGATATTGGTATTTAATGGGCTTAATGTAAGAACACTGCCCTTTAACCTTACCTTTGACAGAAGTCTGTTGCCATCATTGTCAAGGATGAAAACAGCTTTCACTGTGTAGAGGGAAGGTTCCTGCAACAATAAACACAGAGAACGTCTTAAATATTTTAGCTTTTCTGAGTCACCTCAGGGAAACATCGAGGACTGGGAGAGGTCTGCTTCATAATGCCACAACTAACAGCCAAAGCCATTCCTCCCACACCTGGCCAGCGTAGAGTATCAACCTTTATTATCCAGATAAAGCCTGCTTCCCCAGCAACACCCTACTTTACATTCACTCTGGTCCACAAATTCGCACACACCCAGTCCAGCCACTTTCTACACTGGACCCCAGGCTGCATTTGTAGTTTCTTTAATCGTTTAATTCTGTTTCATTCTCCTGGTGTGGAAATGGCCAAAGATCTTGACCATCCTCCTGCACACACTTCACTCATCCATCCAGCTGTCCTTGTGAAGAGTTTTCAGACCCGGGACAAAGTTCTGTTATGCACTGACTAGCATAGATTCACAGTCAGAGTGTATCACAGAACTTAGACCAGGAACTTACAACATCCAGTGTCCAGTGTTGGGAGGAGGACAATTTATATGGAGGGTGGTTCCTTTCATTCTACAAGTGTCTCAGGCAATATACTGGTCTGTTATAGGCTTAACTTGAAGGGACGGTGTTCTTTTGGACCCATGGGTGCTATAATTGAAGTCATTTTTTTTGTTATCTTTCTACATGGTGTGTCTAAGTTAGTATAGTGTTATGCTTAACAAGCACACTGACTGGACTTGGAAGTAGCACTCTGGAGCTAAGGTTTTACATGTGGGCCCCTGTTTTGTTTGCTCTTGTGCACACACACAAGGACACGCATGCATGCAAGTGAGCACACTCCCGATAATTGGCGTGCCAACATAGGTTCAGAAAGTTGTGCACCAGTTACAGCTAGCAGTTAGTAGGTCTAACTAAAGTGAGAACTAGTTAGTGTTAGTGGTGCAACCTGTTTAAATTGAGTAACGCTTGAATCCTCTCTCAGTAAACATGAGACTAGGTTTGAATTTCCAAACAGCTGGTGCAACCGGCTGTTGATCCCAAGTCCTGCCCTGTCCTTAGGGGAGCAGCTCTTTACATAACATGATGGATGATGATGAACGCACTTAATCACTAAACTTAACAGCTTAAAGGCTAATGTGTAAATCAACAGCATAATGGCATAATGGCGAATGTAATATATGAATGTAATTGCATACTGTAATGTACATAATACATTACACACATAATAACTGGGGGAATTAGAATGGATTGTCCACTGTTTGTGTTCTCTGCACACTGAAACTAATATTAAGAACTGATAATCATTAAGTCAAATAGACCACATGCCCAACAACAGCCTCAGCCTCAGTTAAAGTGCAAATGTCAAATGTAAGTTACTGACAGCTAAATGCACAAGATGGAAAAGTTTGCTGTTTGGCTTAAACACAATGATTTTCTCTAGTGTGCATGTTTAAAAGTAGGTCATAGATTCAGACAAAACCAGAGGACCAATTTAGATGTCTGGAGACGGTTCGCTAAAAACAACATCAAGGCTTTTTTGCAATTTGGTCTTGGCAGTTGTCTAAACTGCAATTTTCATTTACTTTTTGATTTTTTACCACATCATGGACACAATATACAAACAGGACAATCTATGCATTCAGCTGGTGCTGTGATACAGAGTAGCTGACAGTAGCTGAGACCTTTCAGTTTTTCTAACAATTATTATCTGAAGAAAAAAAGACTTTCAGACTTTTAATTTTGCTTCCATCTGTTTTGCTAAACAGAACCAGATCCCTAACAGTTATTCTATTTTTAAAAACCCATACACTAGAGGAAAACCGTACTTTCCAGCAAGCTTTGTGATCTCTTTAAAACTAATAAAAGTCTAATTTTGGCACTGGGTTTGGTGCAACAAGGAATACAACCAAAGGATTTATGACACTAAACAGGAGGACGCATTATTCTTCCAGAGGGAATGGAGCAAGAGAAATGTCTTAAAAGAATAGTTGGACAGATAATATAATTTTTTTCTTTCCAAGAGTTAAAGGACCAGTGTGTTGGATTTAGCGGCACCAACTGAATACTGCTCGCATTTTGAGCACATAGGAGAAACTACAGTGGCCGCACAAACAAGAAAGGCCCTGTCGGTTTGTCCGTTCTGGGCTAGTGTAGAACCATGGCGGTTCAACATTGCGGACTGCGTAGAAGGAGACTGTAGATAAAAATGGCTCATTCTAAGGTAACAAAAACATACATGAATATTATATTTCATTGACTGTCAATATATCCTCCTAAATGTTACAGACTGGACCTTTAAGTATGTAGCTGGAGCAAAGAGCCGGTTAGCACAGTTTAGCACGTAGACTGGAAACTGGGGGAAACAGCTAGCAGTAAAACCAAAAAGGGTACGTTTTTACACTAGTTTTTGAACATATTAAGCAAACAAAACAGAACATGTTAATTGGAGAGCTTTAGAAACATTGTTAGGTGGATTTTGTTACCTTTGGAAAGGGCAAGGCTAGCTGTTTCCAGTCTTTGTGCTAAGCTAAGCTAATCAACTGCTGGCTATAGCCTTATATTTATGGGACAGATGGGGAATGGTATCGGTCTTCTCATCTCACTCTCTGCAAGAAAACAAATATTCTAGTCTACTTTAAAGGGAAATACAAGAACTAAAGGTGATTCATTCTATGACTCAACAGATTTGTCCTCCAGGATGGATTTTCAGAAAAATCTGCAAATGAATACAATGCTTTGTATCAGATCACTTGGAAGACACAGATTGCTGATTTTCCCATCAGCAAATGAGTGCAACGTTATTGTTACTACTAAACACGAGAAACAGTAGAATCCTCATCTCAAAACCAAATCTAATCGAATTTGGCAACAATTATTAGCTTCTGCCCTCTTTTCTATCAATGCATGTAATGTTGTTGATTTATGAATCAGGAGTTTTATTCTTCCGTTAGCAGATAATAAGTAGATATTAAATTCACTGCCCATTAAACTGAGCCCTATACATGCATGAGAGGATACAATCTTTCAAATAAACATTATAAACGATCTTATTCTTTTCACTTTTACTGAATCATCACGACCAACTGCAGAACATATTTGACTTACGATAGTGTCTGTCAGTAATATTCAAGCTTTTCTTCTATTTTTATTTTAGTGTTATTGATGATGATAGGTAGTATTTTTAAATTAATTAATATTACTTTTAATGAATTAATTTCTATCTTGTTTTTTATTAATGATTTTTTTCCTTTTAATTAGTGGGAGTGTTTGTTGTTTATTAAATTATCAGTTTGTTGTCCAGTTGTTGCCACCTATAGATGATTACTTTATTGTTGTCTGAACATGATTATACAGTTGCCTTAAGAGTGAACACCTGTTGCTCATGAGATATGCATAAAATAAAGATATCTGTTGTTGTTTGCATGATGATTATCTCACCATTCCTCATCCACACTAAAAACATCAAAGTCTGCAAAAATAACCCCCTATGATGTCTACAGTTCAAATTCAGGATTTGGAAGGAAAAAAATATGCCTAGTGAGTGGCATTATGGGAAATGTATGTTTTTTTTTTGTTATTGTTTTGAGCTTGACTCTAGGGAGTCTGGATATTTCTGCTTCTACTGCACGGATTGTTACCATTGGTTATCTGTCTCTTAAGAGTCTATCAACTGTATGGACATGAACTACTAAATTGCCCAAGAGTCCCTTTAAATAACATTTTGAATGCATGACTTTTTCTTGAAATTTAATATTTTTAAGTGAGCAAAGGCTATCACGGAATATTTCCCATACTGATGCAAATGACGCCTGTAGAGAGACACACAGACACACAGAGAAGAAGGAGAGATTGGAGGGAGAGTAATGAAGTAAATAATTTATTTTAGTAGAAGTAGAAAGTCAACAATGTAAAAATACTAAATTAAAAGTAAACCTGCACATTCAAAATGTTACTGTAGAAGGGTTAGGGTTAAAGCATATAAGTATTCCCAGCAAAATGTACTACAAGTGCAGCTTTTCTGAACTGGAGCCACTTGGCAAATACAGGATAATGATAACTGAGTGAGGGTGCCTTTTATAGCTCATGTATTCAACTTGCAAATCAGTGTTATAGATGCAGTGTTAAAGCTGCAGTAGGTAACTTTTATAAAAATAACTGTATGTCAAATTTGATGAAATGTTCTATGTGCTCTGATAGTAGTACATGAGACAGATAATCTGTGAAAAAATCAGCTTCCTCTGGCTCGTTCTAGCGGTCCTTAAACCTTAACAAAAACAACCAGTCAGAGCAGGGAGAGATATAAGACGCTTTGGGTTGGAGGCTTGAAGTTGATTGTTGAGTCTCATTCCCAGGATCCCAAAGCGTCTGTATTTGACGCCCTGGGAATGAGACTAAACAACCAACTATCTTTCTTGGCTCTGATTGGTTGTTTTTGTTCAGGCCCGGTGGATTCTTGCTAATTCCGTTAGGACCGCTAGAATGAGCCAAAGGAAACAGATTTTTTTTCACAGATTATCTGTCTCATGTACTACCGTCAGGATATAGTGGAGGTTTCAGCAAATATGACAAAAAATATTTGTTATAAAAGTAACAATGCAGCTTTAAATTAATATGAATTCCATTGTTGGATTATTGTTATTAGTCATGGTTTAACGTGTAAGTAGCTGATTTGAACTGCTTTATATCAGTGGTGGAAAAGTAAAAGTAGCAATACCACAATTGGAAAATGCTCTGTTACAAGCAAAAGTCCTGCATCAGAAAGTGTTACTTAAAAATACTTAAGAATTTACTCAAAGTATCACAAGTAATAATACTTATTAGTGTGCAGAAATCCAGCCCATTATATGAGTTTTATATCGTTTAATTATTGTTACTGCTGCATTAATGTCAAAGTATAATTTGACTTGTTGGTGAGGTGGAGCTAGTATAACTATATTAGGTGGTTTAACCCATAAGGATGTATCATATTTGTAATCTGATCATAGTTTTTGAATGTAAACTATTAGTTTGTAAAGTAAATAGTAACAATTACTTAATGTAAGGTTACTTTCCACCATCGCTTCATTTATTGTCTGGTAGTTTAACCTACAACAAAGCAACACAAGCAATGATAATACGTGTAGTTTAGGTACAGTACTTGAGTAAATGTACTTAGTTACTTTGCAGCATTGAGAAAGAGTGAAAAATAAAGAATTAGACAGACATTTGATCAGCCAGCAGACAGAGAGAACTTGACTAACTGTGAGGAAAGACAGAGATTAAAGAGTGAGGGAGAGGCGGAATGAACGGTGCGCAAGGCAAACGAGGAGAGAGCGAGAGAGAGAGAGAGAGCGAGAGAGAGAGAACGGTGGACGTGGCACCTACTCTGCTCTACACGTCAACCGATCTGTGCACATATGCTCCGCACACAAGCGGACATTTAAACACACAGCCCCGCTCTGACCTAACCGCACAGTGCTCCTCTACTGTGCGGTTATACAGGCGGGATGGTGTCTCTTCTCTGGCCTCCACAAGTGATCCCTGCAGGAACCGAAGCTTTGGCTCGCACAGTAGTAGGTAGGTTACTGTCCTGTTGCGCTCTGCACCGGACTCTGTGTGGATAAGTGGATAACAGCTGTGGCTCAACCAGTCTATTGTAATGGAGTTAACTTAACACCCTGATAAGTTGTCGCACAGTGGCCAGCACGGACAACCTGCACTATTTTTACACGCGGAGAAGGAGAAAAACTGTGGCTTTTAAACGCGCTGTGTGCATGTGAAACACTGTCCTCAGATCAGGCCTGCGCGTCCACACAGCGTGACGGTCACAGTCCGGATCACTGTCATATTCATGAAATCCACAATAAACACAGTCTGTTTCTGATTTATCAACAATCTGCGGCCAGCCTCCCCACCACCAATACCAACCCCCTCCCCGGTCCCCGGCGTCCCCCCCAATCCCCCCCCCCGCCCTCCTCTCCAGCGTTGCCCACCGCCACCGAGAACTGCCATAATGCAACAAATGTCCCGCACGATAATAAAAACAGTAGAGAAACAGTAGAGAAACTGCCGCGCACTCAGCGACCCTCCACCAACCAACTGATCGTGCCGGCTCCAGAGTGCGCTGAGACGGCGGAGAGACTCACCAGAGACGTGGAGTCCATCGCTGCCGCCGCCGCCGTGCTCGCTGCTCGCTGTGTTGACGTGGACAGCTCTGAGCTGTCACACCGAGATCACTGCTGCTTTTTTTTTTTTTTTTTTACGGAGCCGCCCGGGCGCGCTCCCGCTCCCGCAACAGCCAAGCGGATAGAACCACAGGGAGCACAGCAGAGCGCGCTCCCGACCCTCCTCCTCCTCTCGCTCTCTCCTAACCCTTTCACAATAAAAGTCTTTGTGCTCCTTCAGAGATTTTTGGATAGTATGTTCATGATGTTAAAGGGGTAAGACTGTGATTGTCTTTATTTTCTTCATGTTTCCAACAATTCCCACAAAAAGACCAAAATTAACAATCAATGGTAGGCTAGGTAATTATTATTAGCAGTTAATAAAAACACATCAGTGAGCCACACTGTTGCACTAAGTGGCAGCTTCCTTTATTACAATGGATGCTGTAGTTTATTTTTCATTCAATCCCACACACACTTGCCGTAAATGCTCAATGTGTACTCATCCGCCTCTGAAAATAGTCCACAATAATCACACTAATTCCTCCAGTCTGAGTAACATTTGATACAAACTACAGTGACCTGCTGTTTCAGTAAAGTTAACTTAGTCATTATTTTACAGATTAAATTATATATGTGAGCGGCTGTGGCAGAGCAGGTCGTCCCCTAATCGGAAGGTTGTTGGTTCGATCCCTGGCTTCTGGTGCCACGAAGTATGTGATACTTAACCCCAAATTGCTCCTGATGCTGTGCATTGGTGTATGAATAAGTTAGTTTCTGTTCGATTGGCTTTACCATCACTGAGTGAATGTGTGTAAAAGCGCTTTGAGTGGTCGGAAGACTAGAAAGGCGCTATACAAGTACAGGTCCATTTACCATTACCATGCAAGGTGTTTTTAAAGATTCATTCATTTTCAGCAGGAACCAATGGCTTTGGGGCTGAGAACCACAGAGAGAGTAGTAAAGACAATGATGGTGTCAGTCATGGAATTTGTTGACAATAATAAAAATATAGCCTCAGTCTTAAATAAATATATAAATATATCTTAAACATTTTACTAACTCAAGTGGATGGCGGAGTCCACACCACAGCTATAACGACAACAGTGGCAAACGTTAGGCTACTGTTGGGATCACTTTCAGAGTGATTTGATGAACGATATTGTGTTATAGTTTATAACCTGGGACATTCTGCCAAACAGTCTTTGGCGCTGATGGTGTCTCTGAAGTCCTTACTGATGTCCTCAAAAGACGACAGCTCCTGTAACTGAGTGCTGGATTCTCCTAACTCCTCTTGTATTTGAAGAACTTTGTGCACCCATATCCTTCTGGTTCTCTTCTTGTTTTCTCTGCACAATGTACAGTCATAACAGCTCATCAATATACATTTCCAATTAGGATGCCGACACAGCTGGAGCATCACTTACATCACTTTTACACCTCTAGTTCAGTTAATTTGGTCCCAGGAAGAAAGATACATACACAAGATACATTTTTTCCTTTTAGATCTGGTCAGGTTCATATTCACACTGACATTTCACAATCAAATCAAATGGAGTAAATGTAAAGTTATACAGATTGATATGTAACCCTTTTGTTGGACACCTTTCAGACCAGTCTAATGAACAGAACCAGACCAGACTAGAGTTTGTTTGAACCAAATCACACAGGTTATGAAAGCATCCTTGGAATGGGCCAAGCTGTGAAACACTGGATCCTATAACATCCATGATGTCGATGAATGACATTGTTCATTGTACCCTTTAGTATCTGTATGAGACACACCAGGCTGCCAGAAAGTCTTTAGAAAGTCAAGTGATGTAGTTTAAAGAGCAACAAAGTCTACAGGAGGTTGGAGTGGATGGGTGGGTCAAACAAACACAGGACTTTCACCCAGCAGACCGCTGTTTGAGTCCTGTGTGAAATGTAAAGTCAACACTGACTCATTTAAAGTAACAAGTGACTTACATGTTATATCACTTAGTTAAACCTAAACCATGATGTTTTCCTGAACCTAACCAAGTCAATTTGTTTCCTAAATCCTAACCAAACTGCATTTCCATGTGTTAAAAAGGCGTCTCATGCAGGCACAAAATCTACAGAGGGAGCAGGTCCACTTTTACTGAGTCCACCATGTTTCTACAGTAGCCCAGAACAGACAAACTGGCTCTAGTTTTGCAGCCACCGTAGTTTCTCCTAAATGCTTTAAAGGCTGAGCTGTATTCAGCAACTTCACCACTTGATGCCACTAAATCCTACAACTTTAACTTGGGATCATAAGTGAATCGGATTTTGAAAAAATACTGCAACCACAGCCGTTCTTGCTTCTGTCTATTAAAGACCAAAATGTAATTATGCTATATAAAATAACATGAGTAAAAACTAGAATATCTGAAGGCCAGGTCTGTAGGATCAGTTCAGTTTGCTTCAGGCCGTGTAAGAAATGTCCATATTGACTTCAATTTGAATATCAAGTGAATGCCACCCAAACAAGCTATAAATGAGCAGTTTGTGTCAATATGAACAATTAGTGCTACAAATATTTCACTCAGATTTCTGCGAGACCGAGAGCGCATTCTCGATGCTCGGGCACGCGCCTCACCAGAAAATTGAGCGAGCCGGCACATGCCTCCTGCGCCCGCCCCTTCTCCTGGCGTTGCATTCTGGGAAACCAAGTTTATTACCGTGTAGGAAAGATGGCAGACGTGCAGCCGCCACCCCTCAGGAGCCTGGATGATTTTCTCCTCAGCTCGGCCCGGTTCGCCGTGCCCGACGTGCGCGACCTGGAGCGCTGGAACAACCGCATCATCAACAACCTCCTGTACTACCAGAGCAACTACCTGCTGTCCGCACTGCTCCTCCTGCTCATAGTGGGGTAAGTTTCATTATCATCTGACGTGGTCGCCCTCCCTCCACCCCCCTCTCTCTTGCTTATAGCGAACATACTGGAAGTCTGTAGTGACAAACACTGTGAACTTGATATGGGATCTTCCTCCTCTGGGAGTGGAGAGATCTTTGCATCCCCAGCAGCAGCGGCAGGGGGCCTTGTCCATCAGCATGACACAGACTCTTGTTCTCACAGCTGAGGGGTCACACTGTAAGTTTGAATTAACTGATGAAGATCAGAGGGAAATCCTCTGTCTCCACACCTCTCTCTCTGCCTCAGGGCTCCCTCTCTGATGGTCTTCCTCACCTGTCACCATGGAGAGGCAGTGTGTGAACTATACCACGGCTGTCAGGGGAGCTCACTTTTTCTACTGTAGTGGGGGGGGTATTTTCTGATCTGAAGAGAATGTGATAACAAACCATGGCCTACATCAATAGTAAGTTCACACATAATCACAAAAGAGAAATGTATGGCAAAAATAACATGTTGCAGTCCCTCCAGGAAGTTGGAATCACATCAATTAACGCAAATCCAACCAATCCCTGTCTCATTGGAATAAGTTGTCTTCAACTTTTAATGAATTATTTCACTTTCTTCTGCAATTTCATTGGAAAAAATACCTAAAAACATCTCAATATGCAACGCAATTTTCTAGAAAGGAAGAAAATCACACATTTTGGACCATTTATGGCATTTGCGGCCTAAAACGGATGATATCTTGGATATTGTCAGTATTTTTGAGACCACCCAAAATCACAAATTGTGTATTCAGGGGAGCTCATGTCTGTCTGAGGTTGTCAGTCAGCTGAAGGGAGAACAGACATCCTTTCTATTTCTGTTAAAGCCTTAAACTCAGAGTACTCAAATGAATCTAAAAATAAAATGGCTGTACACTTGAGAGAGACCAGAAACCAGAATTTAAACCCCACTCAGGTATAACCGCAGACACACTTGGGCCTGTATTTATCAAACATCTTAAAAGTACAGTACAATTAAGATTGCTTCACAGAGTCAGATTAAGAGTGAAAAATGAGAATGAGACACTGTTCTTCGGTTTGGTGGCAGAAACAGAAATCAGCTTCACGTATACAGGAAATGAGCTGCATCACTTTAGGATGAGACTCATTGTCCAAAATGTCTCCCTATGTACAGTATGTTTGGAGCTGTAGAATCAGGAGGAGGAGGAAGCTGTAAATTCCTCTTCAAATAAAAGGCTAAGTAATTCCCCAAAACAGCTGGTCTCTGTAATTTTCATCAAACGTTACTTAAACAGGAGCACATTTGTTGGGGACTATTTTCAGCAGCGGATTAATCCAAGTGAATATTTGGGGCAGCAAATGGAGCAATGCCACTGGAACAATGGAGTTCTATGTAACAGAGGAATAAGATACACCGGGCTTTGATACACAAACAATACTTGTTAGTACTCTTTGTTACGTTGGCTCTGCACATGGGATTTGTTCCCAATAAGAAAAAAAAAATCGCCTCTCCTCTACAGCTATAGTTTCATCTATCCAATTATTTCTAACATCCTGTGTGTTTGTAAATGTCTCTTTTCTCTCAGGTATTTCCAGCCTTTCCAGTTGTTTGTCGGGGCGACGGTGGTCACCTTGTTGTTCCTGGGTTTTGTCTGGGCCGCCGAGAACCAAGCTACTATTCGCCGTTTCCGTAGAAACCACCCGTCAGTCGCTGTGTTGGCCATTCTTTTGGCCAGTTACCTCTTCATATCAGTGCTGGGAGACGTTGCCGTGTTCCTGTTTGGGATAGCCTTCCCTATACTGAGTGAGACAGGAACACACACACACACACACACACACACACACACACACACACCACACACACACACACACACACACTGTATATTCAACCAAGCATGAAATTAACTTACCTACTTGCCTGAAGACAGTAGTTTTGGGCACCAACCCAGTTAGCACATAAGACTGGGCAGCAGATTGTCATCTCCAAACATGAATTTATTTTATATTTTACAGAGTCAGTTTTCTGACTTCTCTTTAGTGGCACATATCCACCCATGCAGACTGTTTTGGTTTTATTTAGAGAAATCCATCTCTAAGATTCCTGCAGGCTGAAGGTGAACCGAGTTGTGCATTGTCAGCAATATTTTCTATATATTCTATGTGATTAAATGTATTACTCCAGATGAATTTCTAACATGATGAAAAACAAATATTTATTGCATGAGATGGGGCCGTTGGTGTTGAAATGCAAATTAGAGACAAGTGGAACTTGGCAAGCATTTTATTTTTATTTATATACCGTATATTATTAAGTATCGAAATTTTGGGATCGATCTGCCCACTCCATCGCACACTTGTAGCCACTATGCAAAAAAAAGTTTTAACAGCTCAACAGACATTAAACAGAGGACACAGTGTGCGACTATTTTCCTCCACACGTGCACTGTCACTGTGCTCGGCGCCTCTTTGCATGTTGCATCATACATTTGTATGTCATGAAAGGCTTAAAGAGTGTCACAAATCCAGGACCAAGTGTCCATTCATTTTCTTCCTTTTATTGTAAGAAATCGATTATATGGCTTTAAAATCTACAGAGCTCTATAGTGCACTGTGCACAATAAAACATTTGTTTTGGTGTATATTATTTAGGGTTGACCAGTTGCTGTCAGCCCAACAACCTAGCCTTACACCCACCTTTTCTTTATTAACAGAAAACAGCTTCTAAAATTAAGTTTCTCTCATTATGTTCACACGGAATCATCACGAGCGATCACCAGCTCTGGTCTGGTCGAAATAAATCTGTAATTTACAGAGTTAGACATGAAAATATTCTGGCTCTACATGCTGTTTCTCCTCTCACTTGATCCTCAGCTCAGAGTGTGCACACTGTACTGCAGAATGAGTCTGTTGCTCAGTAGCGGCTCTCACTCATTCTTTGGGGCAGACCATTAAATTCGCGAAATAAAATGACAAAAATTGCCCCCAAAAAACAACCGGTGATAGCCAGTATAATCGTCCAATTGCCTAACCCTAATGCAATTCTGTAATAGTAATATAATAGTAATAATACTATTATAAAGTATATAATAAAATATACTTATAAAACAGGAACATTTTTAAATAAAGGCCCGTCTCTAATGTTAACTTTTAATTATTAAGATTAAGGCCTGGTTCTCTCTGCAGTTGGGGTAAATCATGGCCCGGCCAGTATTTGAGAATACATGGTAATTTAAGAGTGTGAGAATCTAATTTTGTGTTTGTGTCAGCTTAGGTAATATTAATGAGATGTTAGCTAACTAACTAACAAGCCAATAATTTATTCCTTCCTCTCTCTGTGTCTGTCGCTCCCTCACAGTGGTTCTGGTCCATGCGTCGGTGAGGCTGCGCAGCCTGAAAAACAAGCTAGAGAACAAACTGGAGAGCATTGGTCTGAAGAGGACACCCATGGGACTCCTGTTGGAGGCTCTGGGACAGGAACAGGAGGCCGGATCCTAGAGAGAAAGAGGAGGAGGAGGTGTGCAGGGGTGGGGGATAGTTTGGGTACCATCTGAGGGGAATGGCAAGAGAAATAGATGTGAAGTTCGTGGGAAACGGGAAGAAAGAGAAGGAGAGAATTACTGCGGGGCAAGAAGAAGAGTAATAAGGTGAAGTTGAAAGTAAGGAAGAAAAAGGGTGGTTTGGTTTGTACAAACAACCAATCAGAAGTCACCAGTGAAGGAGGACACCCATTCTGTGGTCTAATGGGAAAAGGACAGATGAAATGCACAGAAATCATCATAACAAAGAAATCATCACTCATCTGCCAAACCTTGCACTTTAAGCACACATTGTTTCGTTTCATTTATTTTGACATGATGCAGTTCTGTCTTTGCACTAAGTGTGCAGTGACGTAGCCATATAGCCATATTCACAGCTTTGATATGATTTGTATGAAGTTCTTCTCCTTTGAGTCATTGTGTATCTGCACATTGACTCAGTGATTCGTACTCTACCTGCCCTCTCCTGTCTGAATATTGATCTGTGCTCCGTCTCAGTGCCTAAGGAGCTATAACGTCAATAACGTCATAATTATGCGAGACAGAGTTTTGAGAACAGTTGCAACTTTACGTGAAAAGCTTTGATGTTTTGAGTAACGGTTGTAATTTTTACAAGAAACTCTTCTAAACTTTTGCTCTTACAGAAGTACAACTTCAATATTAAATATTATGACTTTATCATATAAGATAAATGTTTTTTGTGAAGTTACAACTTTATTTTTGAAGCATTGTAGCATTATGTTATCTTATAGATATATTTGGTAATGTTATTACTTTTTTATGTAAAATAAAACTTTATTCTTGAAATATAGATATTTTTAACTTTATTACCATAATTTTTTTCTTGTAAAATTGCAATGGTGTTTGAGCATATTATGACTTTTTCTTATAAAATAACAAATTGGTCTCTTAATGTTATGACTTTTTCTCGCAAAAATACAACTGTATTCTTGAAATATGACTACTTTTTCTCAGAAAATTGCAACTCTACTCTCAAAACCTTTTCTCCCCTCACAGTGGTCCTTATACTCCATCATACAGAGCCCCCATATTTATTTTCTTCCTGCCGGGGTCTCAGTACACACGTCATACGCACAATTGTGGAAAGCCAAAGTATTGATACTGTACCCTATATGTGGTAGTACTTATTAGCCTTTTAATTCTCTCATCATAGCAAGAGGAACAAAATATGATTAATGTCGAACCACAGTGTGACATGCAAGTAATTATGTCCATACTGTAAATACAGAGCAAAACAGCAAGTATGACTAAGTACATACCAATGTATCCAACAGGTCCATTACAGCCCACCACAAGACCACTACAAAAGTAAATGTCTAAGATTTAACCTTGTATTTATTCTAGCTGCTTCCCTCCAATGTCTTAATTTAAAAAGGATCAATCGCATTTTAATAATCCATTTTTTTGTTAATGAAAGAGGTTAAAGTTGCAGAAGGTGACTTTTATAAAAATAACTTTTTGTCATATTTGCTGAAATTCTTACTGTGCCCTGATAGTAGTACATGAGACAGCAAATCTGCAAAAAAATCTGGTTCCTTTGGCCCGTTCAAGCGCTCCTAATGGCATTTGCAGGAATCCACCGGGCCTGAGCGAAAACAACCAGTAAGTGCTGAGAAAGATATGAAGACGCTTTGGGTTGGTGGCTTGAAGATAGTTGATCGTTGAGTCTCAAAGCATCTGAATTTAGAACCTGGGAATGAGACTCAGCAATCAACAATCTTCCTTGGCTCTGATTGGTTGGTTTTGTTCAGGCCCAGTGGATTTGTGAAAATGCCATTAGGAGCACTAGAACGAGCCAGAGGCACCAGATTTTATTTAGTTTCAGCAAATATGACAAAGAATATTATTTTATATAATATGTATTTATATAATTTAAAATGATCTACTACAGCTTTAATCCATCTGTTTTGAATAATCGTGTTTCCAATAACTCGAAGTAACTTACTTAACTTAATAACTGACTTCATAGGAATTCCCTTTTCTTTTAGTGTTTACATTATTTTGTGTTGCATTGAAAAGTGACTTAAATGCTTAAATGAGGTGAAGGTTCGAGGTTAGAAGGCAATGGGAGGTTTTATATGAAGAACAAGTTCAGAACAAATCCAGTCAGCTCCTTAAATCCAAGACTTTATTGAGCATGGTGTTGATAAAGGACCAACGGGAGCACGAGTGATTCGTGAAGGAAACAAATTCCCTGATTTAAACTAATCATTTTAGTAACCACATTTCTAAGTCTATATTTATCCAGAATAAAAGGCCTCACCAACAGAGCTGCCCATTACAGTCCTCCACTGCTGGTCAGTGGGAGTTGCCCAGTCTTCCAGTGCCGGCAGCTGGGAGAGGCTCTACTGGAGCAAATGAATAACTTTGAATTTACCCTTAATTCCTGTAGAACTTAAATCCTTGTTACCATGAATAACCACTAACCAATAGCATTTGTTGGTAGCTGTGCCAACACTTGTGGTGACTGTAGTTTGCCATTTTCTCCTTGTAATTTGCTATGTTTTTAGCCGTGCTAGCGATTCGTCTCTAGGGATAGCAGTGTTGGTCTACCACTTTGTGCCAGACTGAAATATCTCGACAATTATTGGAAGAACTGTGAGATTCATGGTGACTAGAGGAAGATGCTTACTGACTTTAGTGATCCTTTGACTTGTTCTCTAGCGCCACCATGAGGTTAAAATTTTCAATTATCCAATGAAGTATCTCATCATCTTCTAAAGGGATTGGGACGACATTTCAGTTTCCATTTATTTTGGTGCAGAAGTCCTTACGTTATATGTAGGTTAGTGTTCTGCTATAGCTTCTGTAACTCAGTGCAAAGTAATTTGTTAGCATACAAAAAGCTACAGCTTCCATGAAACTTTACCAGGGCCGCAGTGGAAGTACAGACGCCATTGTAACTTGGTTTAATAACAGCTGCTGTTATTACAGACATGCCTGATCTAACCATGGACTCGCCACTCGCGTCGGTCAAAGATTTATGGGAAATGGTGTTCGTTAAGGCCTCTGAAATGGAAATATTAATGTTAAAAGAACATTTTTTTAAAAATCACAACCCTTATCAAGACTCGTAAGGAGAGAACCACCTGACATAGGCCACATTGAATGAAGTCTTCTTACTTCTGGATCCGAACCCGGAAGTTCCAGTTTCACTCCGGCTGGGCTATACCCGCAAAACTAATGACATTTTCATCAAGCCTCAGCTGTACTTTGTGTTTAATGCTAGCAAATGTTAAAGACTTTCTGAAGAGTCCACAATCACTCCCAACTACACCAGTATTAAAGATGGGATTTAAACCCTCACCTCATTCCATAAACCTGAACACATTAGACCGCTTCAGATACCATTGTAAACATGAAGCAGGATGTCCAGAATTGTAATGTACAGGCTACATGGTAGGTTCCTGATGTAGGACAGCTCTTTGTAGAAAGACAAAAAAGACATTCCTGTGTTGTTCTTATGAGCTTAGGACATTTAGAAAACATTACTATGAAGGAAGGGTTTTTCAGCAGTTTTATAGCAAATGATTTTGTACAAGAAAAGCTCAGTGAAGGTATTTGACAAATTGAAAGTTATTTTATTGTATACTAGCTGCCTGTTGTGGGGACTGTTTATTGTTATGGCTTTGTTGAAACCTGATATAAGAAAAACCTGTTCTAGACATATGTAGGTGGTAACCTACCTCTGCATCCTGTATTCAAGGAACTGGGTTTTCTTCTGTATTATTTTTATTTCTTAGATGGTTTCAGATTCTTCCTGACCATTTCTAATCCATGTTGGTAAAATTGGCTGCAAGAAGGTGTTTATTAAGATGCGAGACGGCCAGCTTTTGTTTTTATGTATGCCTTTTTGATGATTATGTTGTTGACTATTGAAGACTAGCATCAGTGCCCTGCAGAAAAAATAACCCTATTAAGTGGTTTGATTGTCTTATTGTGTAGCCTATGTGCCATTTTAGTTTTGATATTTGCATTGTACAGTTATGTCAGACATTTAGCTGATGTACTTATCCGGAGCCACATGAAAGTGGCTGGGAACATGGCTGTTCTGGAGCTTGAACAAACTACTGTTAGATTTCTAGCGCTAGAGCAGCCTGCCCTATTAATGGTTTGTCTTGGCCTTGCATCACTAAACACAAGTCAGGAAAAGCACTTAAATCTGAACAAAAAGAAACACTTTTTAGCTACTTTGTAACTCTAAAGCATTTGCTGAATTACTAGAATGTAAACAGAGAGGAGAACATTTCTGCACAACAGTGCACATTTAATTACTTTACAGGTGATGAGTCTGTTGCCTCCATTCAGCTAAATGTTTGAATTGTCATTTACCAACACCATGTCTTCAACTCGTGTGCCAAAAGCTGGTAATTCAATATATTTAAAACATTTTTAAATAAAAAGAATGCTGTATTGCAAAGTGTATATGGACTTTGATTTTTTTCCCTGTTATTCATAAATGAAAAATATCTTGGAAATTCAGTTTGTCATTCCACATAACAAGATGAAGCAGTAACTAAACCCAATCATGATGGAGAAAACAGCTAAACTCCAGTGAAGCTTTTTGATCTACCAACATTTAGTTTATATATTTTTCTTTTCCTGGCAGTAATGGGCTTCCATATTTTTGGTAACATTGTTAAATTGAGTCAGGTACTCCGTTGAGGAAGGCTAGTCAGGAAAAAAATGTTATAAATACCATTGACATATGTCATCTTAGGACCTCTGTGATTTATCTTGTGACCCTTCAAAGTGTCGGCGCCTTAGGTTGGGAAACACTGGACTGAACTGGCTTATTGTATCTCAAGTAGTAAAAACCAGCTCTACCCGGAGCAGCTACAATGGTAAAATGCTGCTCTAATATTCATTCAAGAGTATTAATATAATAATGTCGCATACAGGGGCGGATCAATATAGGTGGCATGGGGTGGCAGTTGCTACCCTTAAATGCCTAGCCACCCCAGGTGCCACCCCAGTTTGGTGTCAAATCAAATTTAACTCATTCATTTAGATACATTTTAACCAACGTGTTTAAAAATAGAAATTGATTTAGTTATCACATAATGATTATGGCCAGTTTTTAGACTAAGATCAATAAAATTCAATGAAAAAGCCATGCATTTGGAAAAAAATATTATTTCTAATGCCACCTTTAGATATTCCTATTCAGTGCTTTGTGCCACAGTAATGTAATGTTTTGAGTTCATATATCTTCATTTGGGAGTTTTTCCAAGCAAATATTGATATACGTAAATCAATATATATTTCTGCCACCATGGATATTTTTCTATATACGCCCCTGGTCACATATAGTAATATATCAGTCACAGGAAGAAGCATTTTACTGCTTTTACTTCTGACTACTACACCAAGCTGATTATATTTCTGAACTTTTACTAAAGTAGAATTTTGAATGCAGGGCTTTTACTTGTGATGAGTATTGGTAGTATTGTTACAGGCAGGATGTGAATACTTCTTCCACCACACATCATATACACGTTTCTACAACAGAAGAAATAAAATGGCTACAAATATTTGTCCTGATATATTTTACCTTTCACATCAGATTATAGCAAGAACTTTCTCACACACACCAGTTGTTGCCTCAGACACAGACTTCCCCTGACACCCAACACACAGTTGGGTTTTTTTCTTTTCCAGGGAGGAGTTATTATGCGTCATCGGGGGGAGTGGGGGGGTGTCGCTATATAAAGGTCCCACCCTCACAGTCCACCCAGAACAGAAACAGAAGCCGGGACCGTGTGGACTGTCAGAGAGCAACCGGAACACTGTGGCACGGTGCTCAACACTCAACCACCGCCTGTGGTAAGACACATTATGATATTCTTACATGAAGCACTGAGGAGTCAGAGTTTGTCAGCGCCAGATATCTCTGTGATATTCCTGTAATGTTCCTGTTATAGCCTGTGTGCTGTGTTTGACAGGACTCACTGTGAGTACAGTCATGTGTAGCGGGATGTAGCGGGGTTATTTGCCTGTTTAGTCCAAACGCTGCGAGGTATTTGTGTCAGAGCCATCCGTTCACTGTCAGCTGCTGATGAAAACATTGTGCAACCTGTTGCTCCGGTTGATCTGCACACGCACAGAGGAAAACAACAGGAAACATGATAACAATAACTCAGTGGGACTGGAAACATACATTAGTATTGACATCATCCTAAACCTTAGTGCGATGTAACTGAGTACAGTACAAGTATTAGAAGTAAATATGAGATACCTCTCCTTTACGTGATTCATTCTATAATTCTAATTATCTGACAGCTTTAGATACTGCTCATAAGCTCATAATGCATTGTAATATGTAATAGTTACTTCACCCCCACCAACCACAACAATGAAATGCATCTTACACATGGATGCGGGGCCTTAATACTACTACTACTACTACTACTACTACTAGTAATAATAAATTACATTTATTTATGTAGTGCTTTATCTTGATACCCAAAGTGCTTCACAGTGAAGGCGGGAGACTCAGCTCAGTCACCACAAATGTGAAGCACCCACTTATGTGATCCATGTCAGCCAATGATTGGCAAGTTTAGATTGAGAATTTTGCCAGGACACTGGAGAACCAGCTGGGGGGGTTGTGTGCTATGAGTACTTTTACTTTTGATTGCCTACTTTAAGATTCTGATACTAATACTAAAGTACTTGGAGTAACATGAATACTACCACTGTTGACTACATGTAATAGCAGCCTATTAACCAACACAGTAGGCTAATAAAAGTCTATCTAAAATAGTGGTCTGCTAGTCTATATGGCATTTAAACCCGTATTGAATAGAATAGAATAACACTTTGTTTTCTTTATTGACAGGTCATTAAAACATGCAGCATATAAGAAAGGCACCGACGGGAATAAAATACAATACACAAAATTTAAGAAGACCAAATAAAAACCAACAAACAAGAAAATGTTACACCAAAATGTGTTACCATGTAGCAAGACCCTAATTTCCTCTAGACTACACAGTACAAGATTATACTTGACTAGACAATGTATTAGATGACAGAGTACACTACACTGAACTATAAAAATCTGTGTATTCTGTAGTTATTTATATCCCTGGGTCTTAAGGTGGTGCTGAAAAGTTTTCAAACTCCAGTTATAGTCAGCTGTTCCACTGCAGCTCCTGTAAACAGGTTACCATAGCCTGAAAAGTAAACCCAATGTCCTGTCAGAGGGAGGAGACAGGGAAAGGGTTTTTCCAGGCAAACACTGGCAATTACATCATGTGGCTGCAGTGAGGCAGTGTGGGGCAGGCAGGTGGTTACCAAACCCTTTCTAGAAGTAGGTCGAAGTTACTTAGAGTGGTAATACAGGCCGGCTCTACCCTGTCTGTCTTCCTTATCTCCTCATACAAACTGTCAAACTTCTCAACTGCTGCAGGTCAGGCCGCACTGACAATGGAAGATTAGTGTTGATAACTGTAGTGCCGTTATTATTATCACTAGTGTAATAACACTAGCAGTGGTGGAGCAAGTATGCATGTCCTTTACCCTAGTAAAAGTAGTAGTTCAGTTATTTATTTGCTGTCTTAACAAAGGTTAGAAGCAAAGATCAACACCACTCATGTCTTTATGTTAAATATGAAGCTTCTGCTTTGAAGCTGATTAGCCTAGCTTAGCATAAAACCTAGAAATGGGGGGAAACGGTGAGCTTGACACAATGTGTGGTAACCATTAGGCATATTAACATCAATCATATTTTGCAATAACTAACTATAATATTTGGCCGTGTAGTCAGTCCTCTGCTCTGATGTAAGCTGCTCTCTTAATTCACAGGAATACGTTTCCATGAAGAGGTTTTGGATGAGCCTGTAAGAAGGGGAAAGCCTCACAGACAGACTTTGTTTCTAGATTTTTTTTTTTTATCACAATCAGCCCTAATGAAAGGAGAGTTTCTTCAAAACCCTATTTCTACACCTGGACACTGAGAAGCTCTAACAGGGCAGTCGGGTGCAAATGTGTAGTGCCTTGCCTTGATCGTCTAAGAACTTTACACTTTGGCCAAGGACACTACCACTACAAGAAGCGACACTCATTGTGGTGGTGACTGAGCTGAGCCCTGGACTCTTTGCACATCGTCTGACTTGTCAAAGACCATGCAGTACCTAAAGAAATATTTCACGGAGGGCCTTATCCAGATGGCCATTCTGCTCAGCCTGAGTGGAGTGCGGGTTGACGTGGGACTGGAGCCCTACCTGCCTCCCTCCTGGCACGAGATGATCCTGGGTCCGACCTCTGCGCTGACCCAAACGCAGTTCCACAACCTCCGCAACCGCCTTGAAGACGGCCAAAGCCTGCACCCCAAGAGTGTGGACCTGGACGGGTTCTTCACAGCACGAAGGCTACTGGGCTGGGTCCGCTCTCTGGATAGACTGCAGGTAGGAAAATGTCTCCATATTTATCTGGTAGCATTCAAATGGAGTTAGAATGATAAGGTACTAAGGGTAATAACATTTTAGTTGTTTCATTGTTGCTATGTACAGTTCTTATTTAACAGAGGCTCCTACAAATTAAGACTACACTACATTTCAGAAAGTCAGGATTAATGAACTAGTTTAACATTTGATCCACTTTCTTGCTGAGAGTTAGATGAGAAGATTGAAACCAAACTTGTCTGTTCGGTAAATATGAAACTGGAGCCACCAACTTGTTAGCTTAGTATAAAGATGGGAAACAACAAGCCTGTCTCTGTCTGAAGGTACTAACAGAGGTAAAAGAAAATCTACGTACAAGCACGGTGAGCCAGACAACCAGTGGAGACACTGGGTGCTGGGCGGTGGTTTTAGTTACCTTTGGACAGAGCTGAGCTGTTTCCAACTCTATGCTAAGCTAAGTTTACTACTACTACTACTACTGAGAAGTAAGTCGATCATGTGGCAAGAAAACATGTACAACTACTTCTCAAAATCTCTACTGCTCTTTTAATCTCTTGTAATCTCTTGTTATAGTTCCAAGTTTTGTGTTTTACAAGTTGTGTGTTTTTGACTCCTCCTGTATGCCCAATGAGCATTTGGTAGGGATATCACAGGTTGTTGAATTTTAAAATGTTTCCTACCTGTCTCCACAGGTTCCTCATGCAGAGCTGGAGACATGGCTGGTCCAGCGGGAGCCAGAACCTCTCCCTGTGGTATTTCCAGACCAGGCCTCCCCACTGGTGAGAGCACCTGCTGGGGTGGAGAGAGACCGAATTTCCCCACCTGTGGAATCCAGAGCTGCACTTGGTACCCTGCAGGAAGAAGAGGAGGAGGATGAGCAGGATAAAGAGGTACGGCACATACACTGTGTTAAAGAACATTTTTAAACAGATATTTTAACTTGTTCTTGAGTAGTTATCTTGATCAGAATTGGGGCACTTGGTCAAGAATCTTCACTGTTCAGCCAAGATTGAAATGATCTGATAGAGCTACCTGCCATATTTCCAATCTAGGAATATTTAATTTAGATGTTTAAACTTTTGAGATGCAGCATATTCTTGTGAAACAAAACTCACACACCAAGCTCTTGTCATGTGTCTTCACATACCCAGCAGCCTTCTATGGTTTCTATGGTAAAATGCCAATGTAGTTTCAGTTCGCATGATAATAAATATATTCTTAGTTCAGGTTCAAGGGTTGACATGGTTATTAGTTCAGATCAGCAATCTCAGTTGACCTTCGGCCTTATCATAACCCTGTAGGGATCTGTTTTGGTCTGGTCTCACCATCTACTACCTTTTTGGTGGCAGCAGGCAGCTGTTTTCAGTGAAAAAGCTCTGAAAGCTCTGAATGTACACTAGCTGGTCAACATAGTGGAGTTATTTAACAGTTAATGAGCCAGATACAAGAGACCAAGATATAGACCAAAATAGAGCGTAACATAGATTGAATAATGGACATTCATTGTGACTCCAAATGAATGTGAGTGTCACTCTGTGTCTGCTCGGTGTGTAAAAAGGCAAAAGCAAGAGTAAAAGTTGCCATATCAACTAAAAAGGTATTACATTTGGTGAAGAGCACAATATGACGTGTTTAATACTCCAAACTCAGAGTTTAGGACTTGGAATTTGTCAGTCTTGACTTGGGACTTGAGACTAAGTTTTGACTTGCAAAACACTGACTTGGTCCTTTCTCTTGTCTTTGAGAAGTCAAAATTGTTTGATTTCTACAGCCGAACAGCAGTCTGTAAAATTCAGTCACTCACAAAGTCTGTCAGAACTGACTTCCCTAAAGTGCTAAAGAAAATAAATATATAGAAAAAATGATTGATGTGGACAAGATTGCTGCTTTTGTTTTTGACTGTCACTAAAACTGAGTGCAATGTCATGTGAGACAATGAGTCAGAGTTAGATGAGTCACGAGGAAACCTCACCTCACCACAGATGACATCACCAGGAAAATGAAGAAATAGAGTCGGTACAGTTGAAATACAGTAGGAACACCCTGCTGGAGAGAATACACCTTTTAGATAAACACACATAAACAGACGCTGTAGCCTGGGAGTAGTAGACCTTTTCAATGCCCTGTGCTCACACCTCAGTAACCCGTTTACTGCTTGATTTCTTAAATCATAATGTAAACAGGAAACTTCAATTTGAAACAAATGTTCCACAGCTGAACAGTAGGCTGATTGTAACATTTAAGCACATTCAAATAGGGAGAGAAAATCTGTGCTCTCTTCCTGAGCCTAAAAGACCATTATTGATCATTAATAACGGCTCAAATGGTGTGTAATGGGTTGAACTCCCAGATAATTATCATCCAACTGCAGTGTTCTTCCCAGCTATATGCAGTGTTTTAGCATCTTTCTCATTGTTTTGTCTGTATGGCCTGCTGCTTTAATGTTGTGGGTCACTCTGAGCACTGTTTTTGGCTACAGCAAGGGGCTGTTTTCTGTGAAACAAGTTCTGAGTGGAGCATTTAGCAGCTAAAGAGCCAGATATTTTTATTATCAAGAGTTGGTAGTGAACAAAAAAGAGTGAAAAAAGGGTAAATATTGGGCTTATATTTGTCAAGTGGCCAGAAATACAACTCCAAATAAATACTAATTTTGCTACCTCTGCACAATGTGTATCCAGGTAACTGTTTCATGTAGGAACCATATTCTTTCTACATATCACTGTGCAGAGGGAAGCGTGCATCTACTCATGCATGAGGAGGCGTGCTCATTACAGTGCAGGATGTAAATATGAATGGCATCGGCTGAGCTGTAACTTTAGCTAGCCCACCTAGCTCCACTGAGATTCAGCTGCGGTTGGCGGGTGTAGTTAGAAAATAGTCTGCGGACCATCTTGAGTAACCTGGTTGTAAATTCTGAAAAGCACCACAAGCATTTTGGGATGAACAAGATACATCATGTCAATCAGTGAGCTTTAGAGGAGGAAGGTGGTTGCCCCC